AGTGTAGGGCTACTGTGCTCGGCGTGTGCAGTTGAATGTAAGGTGAGCGTTAAGATAAATATGGCACTTGGAAGCCACATTTCGAAATATCTTGAATTTTTATCGTCTTTTGTCCACAAGAAAACGATGAACGTCATGAACGAATGCACTCAGCAGTGCAGCATGCACGTTAGCTTAGCAACCACGCCTGTGTAGCTCGTGGCTTGCAGGTCAGCGCACCTTATCGCACCTTGCAGGTCGCGAAATTCTCGACCATAAAAATATTAATAAGAACGCTTCTGATTTTAAGAACTCGCTTGCGCATTGCGCAATGCGAGTTAATTAATTTTTATGCGGCAAACGTGAAACACAAACTGCAAAGAAGGCTTTACTGCTTGGTTATTAATTGACTGTCATTTCGACCTTATTTCAAGCCATTTTACGCGGAACAGATTGGAATCTATCTGTATAATGTGGTGGTAAAACCGATAAAACTGATCACATGGATCATGCTTAGATGATACCGAATTAAGATACTAGAGAATTGCTGAAAAAAGACGGAACATGTGACATGTCAAAAAGTGCGATTAAAAAGCTAACATATCAGCGACATATTATTGAATCTGGGGTTCAAATTATGTATAAAATCTTGACATAAAATTAATATCTAACATTATATCTTGCTCGGTCTAAGGCCGGTTTACCCTTGCGATTTTTGATGCAATATCCTTCTTTTAATAGATGTGAACGAGTAATAAGTTACGAATGTTCTGAAGTGTATAAGCTCCTATTTGAATATCAGTAACTAATTCACTCGTTCACATCTATCAAAAGAAGAAAATCACAAATAAAATCGCTGCAAAAATTGCATGGGTAAACGGGCCTTGAGTTCTCTGCCATGTTGGATTATTCAGTAGGGACGATGACGTCAGGTTATTGATGAATTGGAAACGGAATAACACGAAAATTAATATAAAGTTCCAATACATAAAATGCATCTACGGTAAAAATTTTACTAAAAATATCATACTAGGCAGAAGCAAATATTCAGTGCTTAATTAGGTTGAATTCATTAGACATTACATTGTGTAAACCCTGCGAGATAGTTATACTGATTATCATCCCTCCTTTCGGCCGCAGCGGTGATATTTAATCCAATTTCCCTATCTATAAGTTTTCAAATGATGAATATAGTCTAGATGCGCAACAACTAACATTGATTAAAACGATTTTGCAGGATTAATCAAATTGTATAATTATGTGGAAGTTGAGTAGGGCAAAATAAATTATATGCGAAAGTAGAGCAAAATATATGTGGCCTTAAAGGTCTGTTCACACGGTCCAATTTTGTTGGACCCAATTCACTTCTGATGGAGATTTTATTTAAGAATTAAAAAACGAGTCGCGTGCCTTTATGGTGTAATAATGCACGATGGGGGAATGTTGGGAGAATACGAGAGAAGCGAGAAGGAGCAACAAAAACTTTAAAAGCCAGAAGCGTGCATTATGGCCTCACAATGCACGCGCGGTAGCCAATCAAATTGCTCGTTATATCATACTTATATTATAAAGTCTGTTGTCTTGTAATGTATATGAATAGCAAATCCACTGAAGCCAATGCACTACTGCTTCACCAATAGCTGACTATATTTCATACGTCAGAAGTGAATTAGTTCCAACAAAATTGGATCGTGTTAACAAACCTCAAGAGTGTTACAAACTTGATTTACTTAAGGATTAAAGCACTCTGTGAGTGCATTATCGGGTTTTACATGCACGAGTTCACAAACAAGGAACGAGAAGTTCAATACTGCACGAGGCGAAGCCGAGTGCAGTATTGAACTTCGAGTTCCTTGTTTGTGAACGAGTGCATGTAAAACCCAATAATGCACAAACAAAGAGTGCTTTAATGCTTTTAATATTCATTTTGAGTAAACTCGTAAAGACTTTATATCATTTTAAAACCTAAATAAACAATACATGCTTACCTTTAAATACTAAAACACCCTAACCGGTTGCCCGTTTAGTAGTTTTCGGTGTGGATTTATCTATAATTACATTAATTTCTTCTTAACTAAGTTCGGCAAATTTTTTGTTTATTGCCGCCATTTTGATCGTGCAATAAATCCTATAACGGCACTGCCGTGGCGTTGTTGCTATATAAAATTCACTCACGTGGTACAAATCGACCAATCAGAACGTAAGTTTACAAAAAATGAATATTAAATTACAATAATATTTGTTGTCATTATAATAACCGTGGTTAAACATGGGACAGTGTGTTGGAACAGTGATTACACGTAGTTTAAAATCATATCGTCCTTTATTTTCGATGAGACTGAAAAAAGAAAAAAACGAGCAGGAGAGGCTTTAGTTGAAATATTGAAAGTGAAGAAATACTCTAATGAAATTTAATATTACGGTATATTTTTCGGTGCAGATGCAGAAAACTATAATGTATACTCTAGCATGCACTGTACTCAAATGGAGTTCATTTGTTGGAAATAGAAACAAAGACGACAATTATTTTGTTGATCGATTAAAATATTTTCCTGTGTTCTCCTTGCATGCGATGGGGAGATTAATATCATACAGAAGTATCAGTGCATTCCGTTTTTGAAAACAGACTGGAAGTTCTTTTAAAAGTAGCAAAAACAGCACACTTCCAAAAAGATAATAACGCACACATACCTAAAAGCAGTAATTATTAAACGGACACGAAGCAGAAAGCTCACTGCAAAAGATAAGCTGAGCCATGATGTGACGGCCATTATACGACGTGTTCTACGTCATTAACAGTACTTTTGTCAACTGCTGTGAGAATAATATTTAAATCAGAAAAAGCATTACATATTTTCGGTTACGATGGATGGTTTTCCCTCGTTTGGAGAAAAAACCCTGGTCGGGCTGGTCATGTGAGCAATATAAATTCCATCGCCACAGGGCGTGTGGGAAAGTGTCGAATTACATGCTTCCACTTCAAGCGTTCTTCAATCTTCATTTCAGGGGACAACTCCTTATGAATCCACCTCGCCAGTGAGTGAGGTCTCTTGAGAAAATACCATTTATCACTGCACATTTCTCATTTTATCACTGCATATTCTACTTTTATCACTGCACAAATTGGTTATCACTGCACACTAAAATTAGGTATGCTCAGACTCGAACTTTGTCACAGAAAGTTGGTCTGAACGCCACGGAGTATGCTGGTCATAGCTTCAGATCGGCGCTGCTACGACCGCAGCCTCGGCTAACTTGCCTGCTTGGCTGATCAAAACATTACGACACTGGTCTTCCGATTGTTTTGAACGTTAGACTCAAACACCTACCTCAACGCTCTCAGGCGTATCAGCCAAACTGGCCATTATTTCAAAATATTGATTTCCTATTTTGGGGGGAGGGCTCCTTTATCTATGAGGATACACCTTATGTGTATTGTGGAAGGAAGCGCTCCCGATTTACGCTCCACGTTCAAGCCCATAGACTCAGCATTAAGTTATTGCAATCATAAATTAATAGAATCGTATACTGTCCAATTAGCGTGTGCGGTTGGTCTGTATACGATTCGACTGATCTATGTCTTAGAGGCTAGCTACCTCTTTCATGGTATGTAGCGAATGCGCATACATGACATCATGCGCTTGTGCGCAGTTTCAGATCGAGTCCTAATGGGGAGAATATAATCCCGAGGAAAACGATTCAAAGGCCATTTAAGAACGAGTCTTTGGGATAAAAGATTGACCACAAAGAATAACATCCTATAGGAGTGCCTCCCCCAAGGCCCTTCTCCCACAAAAAACGCCATGTGTATGTGTATTGTTTTGCGCAGAAAACGGGCCCGCTCGCTAGTAATCATTATAACGGCTTCGATCATTAAGCATTTAAGCGATGAATTTCTCCTTGCGTACGGAATTATTGTTGTTGCTTAGGGCTGCAAGCTTGCCACTGTCGCGTTTTTCACACGCACATAATATTTGAAATTGTCATATTTGAAAAGGGTATGTGAGTAAATCGAAACAACTTAGTTATCCGCACATTATTAGAATGCATTTGTTGACCCATATGTTAAATAATAAAAATTTGTAAGCATTTAATTTTTTCCGCGCGTAAGAAAACGCGACAGTGGAAAGCAACATGAGTCTAAAATTAAAGAAAAACAGGGAAGGAGCAATATTTTTGGCTTTTACCTGCAAAAACTATGAACAACGCAGTATATGCGAAAACGTAGACTGATTGAAACACATCACAATAACATTCGACGAGGAATAATTTTATATGTTTTCAGGGTATTGACAATTGATAGACCTAGGTGGTCTATTTGCATAAAAATTTGAAAAATTTGAAATTATCTTGTGATAGCAGTGATATCTTTATAGCTTTGTCTCTCAACAGAATTCCATATCAATTATACCCAATTATTGTAACATGGGTGGCCCAATTATGCATATCCTCTCCCACATACATATGTGTAGCTGAAATTGGTGAGAAAAAATTTGATGAGAAAAAAGAAATATTCCCTTGAATATGTCTTGCACAAAAGATTTGAAGCGTGCATGCACCCGGTAAAAACGCATCGTCTGAATTAATAACCTTGTGTATATTTTAAGTCTCAAAATAGCCATTTCACGGCTGTCAGATGTGTATGATAAGCGATCAAAAGATTGCAGAATAATGCGTATTCAGTAGAAAAATCGAACTTTTTAAAGTTATATTCAGCAGTTTCCTCATTAATTTTAAAGCGATACAGAAACATACATGTACTTATTTCATACTCAGTATAGAAAGGCTTTTCCTAGTGTATCACACACACTATGATTACTCCCACACACGCAGTCCTTGTTTCAAAAGCAGACCCAATTTATCGACATGGCACGGCTAAAATGGACACCCGTGCCTGGGTCACATGTGCCTGGTAGCCTGTATTGGTAGCCTGGGCACAACTAAAATTTGCTGCTGAGAACAATTTTAGCCCTGTCTTGCAAAAAATTGACTGTAGCGTAAACAGCAATCGGAGCTGGAATGACGACACCAAATAACACAGATGTAATGGACTATAAATAATTTTGTATAGATTGTTTAGTATTGATGACCTCCTGTCGTGTTTCTGCATAAAGCTACTTTAAAAGTATTTCACAATAGAAGGAAATTTCCTTGCGATTGACGATAACAAGGGAGGGAGGGATCTTTTCAAAAGTTTTTTTACCGCTTTTTTGTTATTGCTATATCGCCCTATGAGAACAGCTATATGCAAATAAGTTGCGGTTACCCTGATCTTCTGATAGCTTTGTAGCTACGTCACTTCAGCAGTATTGCGTGCCAATTGTACACTAAGCAATATTAATACCGTTGGAAAATCGCCAGGTGGTAAAAAATTGTATTTTTTTAACTTGAAAAGTACCCTTGCTATAGAAAACCATATATAGACAGTGGATATCATAGTTGTTGAGGTAAGTTTCGTACATGCAATCGTGCGCCTGTTTGGTATTTCATATAGTTGTTATCATACATAGTGATAAAGTATAAACGCACTGAAGTGCTAAAAGGTGCGAGTTTTTCTTTTAAAATGCATTTAGTGAAAACTAAAATGTAAAATCATCGAAACCACAGACATCGAGCACTGGTTGCCCAGCCGTAGATCGATGGAGCAGTTGTTTAGAGACGTTTTCGTAACAAAATTCTTTTATATGTCTTGGGCTTTGGTATTTCCGCAATTCACTAAATTTTAAAATGTTTTGCTCAAATTGTCCGAGTTTTCTCAACGAACTTATAAATCGCTAACATTCATACAAATATTTCGACTCGGATAGTTGATGATTTGACGGGCACATGTAATTGATACCGAGAAATTTTGTTCAAGATATTTCCCTTCGTATATCCATACTATAAATTTTACTGTAAGTTCCAGAATTTTCCTTGCAGTCACTTTTTCTTGCAGTCATAACACTAAAGGCATAACTTAAAGATTCCTCTAAAAATTATAATAGCTAGATGCACTAAGCAATAGATAGATTAAAGACGGCATTTTATGGGGCAATAAAAAGGACACAGATCTGGCTTTATGCCATTATTTCAGTGCCAATTTTGTCTTTGTTTCATATTTTTGTATGATATATAATTTACCCGATTCTATGTGGCTCCAATGCGAATATTCTTTCATACTTTTCAAAGAAACCCTTTTCGTAGTGCACTTTTTGGCATGAAAAATTCGATACATATATTATATCTGCACAATAATTGTCTTCATTACACATATTAATAGATTTACGCTAAGTTATTGATGTGTTTACACTTTTTAAGAATTATACATTAGTGTTAAAAAATATGCCCAGAGTATAAAACATTATACTGATAAACTTTATACCTATTAAGATATACATGATATACAATCGAGTGATCATCAAAATATTCAATAAACCTATATTCTAGAAAGAACATAAATCAACTAATTCTAGGAATGTTCAAAATAAGTTCGTAATATTTACAAATCTAAACTACCATTATATCTATTAATCAGTGGCGGATCTAGGGGTAGTCAGAATAAATGACTACAGCTGAAAATCGCAATCGATTTTTATTCAAAAACACTGAATGCCATAACCAATGGCGTTGTTATTAAGGTGTTTTGAATTTAAAATTTACCTGTGACTACCCCTAGATCCGCCACTGCTATATTAATTGCATATACAGTGGACTTACAAGTGAATCTTTCAGTTTTACATGGGTAATTATATTGTAGAGTTCCTTTGGGTTTGTTCTAGTTTCCCTGCCTCTCACCCCCGAATACTTTTTGGGGAGAAATACATGAAGCTTATGGGAATATAGTGACATATTCTTAAAAGGTCAATACACATACCATACCTGCGCTCTTGCAGCGTCTTCAAATTGGATTCTTGTGATGCATGATCGTATCCATATTCTGGGAGGATTATCTTCATGGACGTTTCTGCACTCTTTCAATGTCGTAACGCTGTGCTTGTTTCAATTTCCCTTGCCATACTTGTGCATCGTATTCCAGAGTTGATCTAATAACCCGGCGCAGTAGAAGGCTTTGAGATCCTTCCTGGTTGCACCATAACTCTTGAGGATCTTTAGTCCAGTAGAAAAATGATTTCCTAAATTTATAGAACCCATATTTTGTGCACTTTCTGAAATGTGAAATGTGAATTTGGTAAAAAAATATGACAGGCTACATATATTATCTAACAAGGAAATGCGACTTTCAGATAACCTGCCCGTAGCCCCGTTCAAACAATACCGGATTGCCGTCGGAACAGGACTAATTTCGAAGTTAATAAAAGGCAACGAAGACTTTTAGTGCCCGAGACCTGAAAAGATATACCAAATTGATAAGCATTTGCTAATCATGGTAGCTTCATAACGAGAATGTCGTGACGAAAGAATCCATTACCGTGTGCATGAACGCAGCTACAATTATTAGTAATGGATTCAACCTTTGCTCCCTAATTGGAATTTCAATCAGTTGTCAATCCACGGTAGCGCGGCCTTGATAATATAATAAAAGTTAGTTCGTTATTTTTCATTGACTTCGCTAGCATATATAGTCGGGAAAGTACAGACATTTTACCGCGAGATCACATTATGTTAACATGACCAAAATAAATTACTGACTTATTTATTTATTACACCGAAAACTGCGCTCTTATATTCGCAAGATGCGATGGTAAAATGTTTATAAACACCAACTGAGTATCTCGTAGCTGTTGTGCGTGACTATAAGTCGAAACTCAAACAAACAAGAAGCAGAGTTAGACAGCCGTGACCGCCCACGGGAAACGGACATAATACACTTGGAAAGGATTCAACAAGGAAGTAGCTGCCTTCGACAAGGAGACTAAAAATGTTTTACGTGCGGTCGAGAAAACTAAATTCGAGGTTATGAAATTAGAAGCAGCGTTTACAACGCTGTAAGCTATTAAACGAAACCATATCGAGGTTCCTTTAAGAGTTAGAAACACTATTTATGGCATGTAGACACACCGGGAGATTGCGACGACATCGCTAAAGATACAAGACCTCGTAGTGGTACTTTAAATTCAGCCGAGAAGGAGTAAACAGAATAGTCGTTAAAACGAAGTAGGAATCCGACAGAACCTGGATTCTCAGTTCATGAGAAAAAAATCTCCCTTTCTGGCTCTTACGCCGCGCCATGCAAGCTAAACCTCAGACGGACATGGACCACCTCCTTCCTCTAAAAACTCCAGTTGTAGCTCAAGAAGTTCATTATGAGCAACGAGGTTAAAGAATATGACCTTACGATCGCCGAAAAATAAAACAGAATCAAATTATACGAAGCGGGAAGAAAAGAGACAAAGTTCAGCTCTGAAAGCTCAATATGAACATGAAATGACAGTCTCGAACGCTCAGAGACAAAGGCGTACGGGGCAGGGGGGGGAGAAGTTCAGCCGAAAATCGGCAACTGAAAGAGTTATAGCGAAAATTTTTGCATTATATATCACATATGTGTATTCTCTTTGGCCATTTTTGTTACACTTACAAGTTTAATGTTACAAATCTTGTAAACGTTAAAATTCGGGCACATTGCATAATTCAAAAATTCGGGCGAATTTTTTGCCCGCCCCAAACGAAGTCGCGCCCGTACGCCTATGCTCAGACACGTGCTTCTGTGGTGACATTGCAGATAAGCGCTATTTAACAGTAATTGTCGAAAGTTGCGCTACCAGAAAGACGTAATAAAACTATATCAATTGGCGTAGAGCGCACACAATATTGGGTCAAATAGCAAAAGCTATTAAAGCGCGAAGATCTAGAAGATCTCAAGCCTGAACTTCACACTAACTTCAGAAACAATAAACAATTAAAGTTATTTCGCCGCCGAAGACAATTAACAGCCACCCCATTTACCCTTTATTCGAATCAGACCATTGTTCTAGATACCAATTCCCTCGATGTGCAAGGGTGTATGTTGGCAATTGCTGAGACCTACCGACAACTAACCGCCAGTCTCGCTCGGAGAAAAACTACCGAAATACCACCCCGATGTGTACATTGGTGATTGCACAGTTTTCCACGCCTGAAGGAATGCGTTTCAAGCCATGGTTTATGACGATGATCTCTTGCCAGAACAGGAGGAGTTAAACTACCTTCACAATTATACAAGTGGAGAAACTGAGAAACTCATGAACAATTTTCGTAAACCACAGTAAGATAATCAAGCCAACATTGTTGGATAGTTTTGGATCGAACTGGAAAGACGGTTTACAAACATAGCTGCTATAACACACCCCTCCTACAACGTCTTCAAGATGCAGCACGATTCGGCGAAAAGGACGTCTTCTCTTTTTCCAGGAATTTTGAAAGGTCTTTATGGTAATACGATCATGAGCGACCAGATGAAATAAATTCCTGGCTTGAGATGTCTCAACTAACCCAATATCATTTGCCCTATATGTATAAAGCTACCAGGGCACATACAGAGAAAGTGGGACGAAAGAGTGGTGGATTACGGAGAACCAGAAGAAGAACGTGTCGAACCGTTTGTACCAGCAAAGACGTGTCAGAAAAGAAGGGCCACCTACTCACTTCTTACTTCAAACTGATCTCTAAAAACGTTATACCTTGCTTTAATAATTTCTTCGTTTTAAAGAGCTCCATATCTCCATACAAATATATACAAGACGAGGTGTTCCATACGGACACCGACGACAACGGAAAGACAATCAGGCGAATATCTTTTGAAGAGTGACGTTTCCTCGATTTTATGAACAAATCTATTTGGAGAAGAACGAACGCGGGAACCGGGAAACCTAACTTCCTTCACGTTCTGAGAATCCTATATATCCCAACAACCGAGCACAAGCAATTTAACGCCTCAACAAACTGATGCAAATTAACTTTTAAGAAGCATCCTGGAACTTTGGTCCGGCCCTGATCTCGCAAACAACCTCAATGGAGTTCTTTTTGGATTTCGACACCACAAAGTACTGTCGTCACGTGCGATATTCACTGACACATGTTCTGCTGGCTCTGTGTCCAACCAGATCACCAAAGTGCGTTGCGATCCTTGCGGTTCAAGCCTATAAGGATAACGATCTAGACAAAGAAATCAGTCAGTACAAAGAACTGTACTTTCGTTTGGTAATTTTTGAATTCCAGCCGTCGCTAAGTTTTGCCTTATTTACTGCTAACTCTAAAGACAGTATAGTTTATTATGTTACAATTTGCTATAGAATATGTCTGGAGGTTGAAAATCCTCTCTTATATTTGCAACTTCTCTTCACTTTAATAACAAACCCAGGTGAAAGAACGGTGTACCACTTGTTAGGCAAATCTTCAACTTAAGTCACGGTATACCTGACTCTGACTATAGACAGAGTGCTACTAGATATACTCAAAACATTTAATTAGGATTAATTATTAATTGTGCTTTATTGAGCTTTTCACTGTCTAAACCTTTCTCACAATAGCGTCGAACGTGAAATGCCTGGTGTTAGTTTTACACGATTATTGATTGACTCTTTACTTCTGTGGAACTAATTAAGCGGGTAAACAACAAAACTATTTTCTTGGATCACATTAAAATCGATGGGTTTCACATCACTAGGAAAACTATTCGGATTAAAAAAAGAACCTTTGGAAAGTCATTTTTCACCACAATGTTTAAAGATTCCGCGACTCAAATTGCAAAAAAACATCACTATAAATTATACCGTAACTGAATGGACCTTTTGCATAATAGACAAACTTACGACACAGGGGACAAAGGAGGATATAAATCACCGTACGGAGTAGTACTAATGTAGTATGGAAAATATAGCCATGCAAAGTTGGCAAATTTGTATACTTGTTTACTACGGCCAGAAGCGTTTAACTAAATTAGTTACAAGCTTCCAGTCGTAGAAAAAAAGTATGGCAAAATTGCCAAATACGCATGCCTATATTTTCTGCACTTTAAAATATTTTGCAACCAAACTTAGTAATTTTATTAAATTTAGTATGCACTTTTCGAAAATTTCCTTTTTGTTGCCTAAATCAAAAGTTGGTTTATTATGCAAAAGGTCAATTGATGGACCATGTTGACATCAACGTTGACATCATCCCAATCGAGCAGGATACTGGGTCTAGTCGCAAACCGCAATGCATATATGGAGGAGCAAATGATTTCAGACTTATATTTCTTGTTCCTCCAAACAGTCCATAGATGCTTTGCGGTTCGTGACTAGACCCAGTTTCCGGCTCGATTGGGAAATAGCTAATTATCGTTCGTAGAATACTTTCTGTGGCCTTGTTTATCATTGAAATTAAATTATTTATTTTCTCCAACTTTTCTTTTAGATGCAGTTGTGGCAGTCGATATATTTGCATCTCTTTGTGTGTGTTCTGCAAATTGTGTCATCAACAGGACAAGGTAAGAATTAAACAATACTTAAACCATGATGAAAGATGGTTAGTTTAATCATTCACATACATTGCAGTTACGTGGTTATTACAGGTGAGAGTACGATAAAAAAAAATTGGATTTAAAACAATTGAGCTAGTATAGTTATAAGAAGTATAATATAGCATATATCTAGGTTATAAAGTTGTATAAAAATATTTCTCCCTAGGCAATTCATACGTCGGGGCAGGTTTCTATTCACGCACCAAATCGTTCAATCTGTGGCGTGCGTCGCCTAAAACATGGTTAAAGTTTCATGCACGTGGATTTCCTTCATGCATAAAATATAGTGTTTCCAATCCAGGTTTTATTCCGGCCTGCGGAACACCAATAGGAACATTTCATCATTCTAAACAGCACTTCTTTAATTCTTTGTTGTCTGTTGGTCAGGAAATCTGCTATCCAATTAATTATGGATTTCAGGATGTCTGATAGAGTTACCCGGGCTGAAACTTTTGTGTTGTTGTCATGTAATCGTAAACTTAAATCCGAACAGAAAAATTTGCTCTGACAACGCTTTTTCGTTGGTTTACTTTCATTTTTATGTGCAGTCATAGTTCCTTAAATGTCACTTTATTGTCATTCGGGATTTTAAAGCGCGGAAGAATCCGGCGAAATATAAGTCTACTACCAGCCTTTACAAACTCAGCCCGGGCTGAAATTTTACCTCTGGTCTTAAAATAATTCTGACGTGTCATAACACAGCTCGGGCTGAAACTTGCCATGCAATTGAAAAATACTTTGGCCCGGCCGGTTTGCCGGGCTGAAATGACACCATGTAATTAGCCCCATAGTTAAGCAACTACGTACAAGCTCTTGAACCTAGCTCGCCTGACGTATACTGAACCACATAGAACAGTCTTCCACTGTAACTTGTTGTCTTTGCTTCAATCAAGTTCTCGAAGGATCTTACGAAGTGAAAATATTGAATAGGGTTCCCGTCAAAGGTCGGAACTTGCACGTTGGGAAGCGTCATAGCCAGAGCCGACATTTGGTGGTGGCAAAATAACTCGTGCAATTGCTGATCCCTAGATTGTTGCATATTGAACATCTCGTACATTTGTTGCTGCTGTATCTCTGCGACGTTACGCAAAAAATTCCTTTGCTAATAGACTTGCAGATGCAGATTTATTTATCTGTTGGGTTGAAAAACACTTTTTTAAAGAACTCTTTGACTTGTATCTCTCGATTGATGCAGACTAATATCGTTTCAGGATTAACTAATTTCCATGCATGACTTGTTTCCGGTTTGGAATCTACAGCGAAAATCTAGATACGCATACATCATCACTGTTGGTGAGGTGGACGGTGGAAGTTTTTTATAAAATCTATTCGTGCAGTCCTCCACGTCCGTGCAGTCGTAATGTTAACAAACACTTTGTACATTTTGAACTCCATTTCATCAAATATGACAAGCTGTTTACGTATCTGACACTGTTTATATTGGTTCGCTATGGTTTTAAATAAATATACAAGTATTCATATATTCACGATTAGCATTTTATTTTGTTTTGAAATTAACTGTTTTACGGACTGCTAACATGAATATATGAATATTAACCCCAAACTTAACCATCTTCCATGGCCCCTGCACGTCCGTAATATATTCATTCTTTTCACGCTTTGATTCAGGTACAATTACATTTTTTTTCAAAAATCCCACCCAAACTGTTGGAGAGGAAGCTGGTTCAGTGAGTGTTTGTTATGTGGCTTTGGGGAGCGCTGCTGCCTTTAACGCAACGTAAGTAGACTTTGTTGTATTTTTTCTTAATAATTTTCAGCATTTCCCACTTTTTAAAAAATCTTAAAAGTGAAAAAAAACTGAAAAGTCTTCTTTTTCAACATAATTTTATTCAACCTTTAGACGAAAATACTCAAGCTATGTTTACCGTTTATAAATCTGCACAACCAATTTCGTTTTTAACTGTTTAAGGTTGTTTCTTTTCATATTTTAAGATTTTCATCCAGAAATGGCACTGCAACAAGCGGAGAAGATTACTCATATGAAAAGGAAACACGCGAGCTTAAAGTCGATGGCAGGCAGCCCACGAGAGGCTGTGCAGAGATTTCTATCATTCAGGATAGCATTTACGAAGGAAACGAAAATTTCAAATTTTTTGCGGAGTTTAATGACCCTTTCAATGCTCAAATAACCGTTGTGGAAACCACAGTGACTATAATAGATGATGACGGTAATGAACTTTGAATGTACTTTTTTGTTCAAGTACACGAATTTTTATCGCATATAGCGTTACGAAAATAAGCATGAAGGGTTGAAAAACCCTTTTACTACAAGAAATAAATGCATCAGCATGTCATTTTGCGCCGACTCGTGGATAAAAAATAAAAAAATTCTTTTCGGATTAATGGAAAGCTTTGGTTAGTACGCAAAATTTCAGGCAAAATGGTTACAAGTAATAAACAACCTAAAACAATTGCATCATTGTTTTTTAATTAGTGATGGTCTTGGGTTTGCCATATCGTCCTCACTATCTCTCCCAATTGTCTCATCATTTGACATTAAGCTAGACAATTTCACATTACGATCTACCGAATTTCATATTTCAATGTCAAGTATTCTGCCCCATTTTTTTTGCGAAATGACAATAGGCTTGACCGTTTTACATTTCATGTATTTTAGGTGGTAATGGCCGTAGTAATGGTTAGTTTTACCATTTTAATTTGGTTTTAATTAGTTTTTGGGTTTTTAAATATTAAATTTTAAATTGGTTAAATTCAATTAAAATTTTTTTTTCTTTGAGCAAATATTTTAAATCGTTTTAACCTTATTTTCGTCATTTTGACCAGCCAGCTTTTACAGTGTACGCCGAGCCAATATCTATTGTAATCATACAAGCCATGTTATTACTAATATACCATTATTACTCTATTAATTTTTGTTGATTTGGATTCCAAAAATCCTCATGGCAGAATATTTTAAAGTAATTATTGCATTTTCTTTATCTTTTAGATTTCGACGAATGCAGTGCAGGTTCCCATAATTGCCATCACAAAGCCTTCTGTAACAATACTGAGGGTTCTTTCAATTGTACATGCAAAAGCGGCTACTCTGGAAATGGAACAGATTGTCAAGGTTAGTAGTTAATATTAAATATATTTATGATATGATTCTTTAAGAATACTCCCAAAATGGAATTGAAGGACTTTTCGACGATCGCCTCTTGCAAAAACTATTTTATAGAAGTATATAAGGATGTTGATCATTTTGAAGTCTTAAGTTGTAAATAAATTTTTTACCTCTATGACAGTGTATGTATTTATGAATATTATTGTTTCTATAATTCTTATATAATTGTAACTAGGTGATTGAGGGTTTGAACCTGTTATGAATTTATACCAAGATTTCTCACTTTTTCTCGTTTATTCATTTTTAAGATATCAACGAATGTAGTGCAGGTTCTCATAATTGCCATCGCAACGCCTACTGTAACAATACTGATGGTTCCTTCAATTGTACATGCAAAAATGGCTACTCGGGAAGTGGAACAGTCTGCCAAGGTTAGCCGTTGATGTCCTATATAAAAATTTCTCTCGGATCAAAACGTCAAAGGAAATTTTAATTCGATCGTTTCGTTATCATACGCAGAATAATTTTATAGAAATTTTTCATACATTTGCACGAATGATGATACATTGTGTAACAGAACTTTTCTTCAAAACGTACGAACCGAAAAAAACTACACTCACTACAGAGTAATTCTCATTTATCATCTGGAGTTTCGTATACATATAGCCTTTTACAACTACCCTTATAATTATAGGACTATAAACAAAAGAAGTGTTTTCAAAAGGCACTTGAATAAGAAGTTTGACAAGATTTCGAGGAGCAAAACAACGATTTTTACACGCCTTCGTTGATTATTTCTTTAGATATAAACGAATGTAGTGCAGGGTCTCATAATTGCGACCACAACGCTTACTGCAACAATACTGATGGTTCTTTTAATTGTACTTGTAAAAAAGGCTACTCGGGAAGTGGAACAGATTGCCAAGGTTTGTAGTAAATATTTCATATTTCAAATGCAAAGTTAAAGGAAATTCAGATTTTGAATTAAGATAATTTTGTTATTATGGGTAGAACATTTTGTATAAACTTTCTTATGCATATACATCCTCTACGAATGTTATGAATGGTTTCTCATCTTCCATTGTGATATCTGCTGCAGAAAACTGAGATTCACTCGATTCTTCGCGAGACTCGCATGATTCGCATGTGGTCTATCGCTTCCTGCTGCCATGCATGGTTAATTAGTTATCATCACTTTCAGTTGCGTCGGGTTGATAAAGATAAATCTTCAGATAAATCTTTAAACAATGTTAGACTTATTTGATGGACACTGTGTACTTTGAACTCACCGAATATTTCTTTTCAGATAGCGAACATGCAGCCGTTCAAATAAAGGATAATATTTACAGAAATTGGAGTACAAAAATTATTATTAACAACTGAACTATACAAACAAACAAACATAGACTTAGATGCGGAATTATTTATCTGTTGTGTTGAAAAACACTTTTGAAGAACTCTTTGACTTGTATCTCTCGATTGATTATAGACTAATATCGTTTCGGGATGGACTATTTGGATGCATGACTTTTTTCCGTTTTGGAATCTACAGCGAAAATCTAGATACGAATACATCATCATTGCTGTTGAGGCGGACGGTGGAAGTTTTTTATAAAATCTATTCGTGCAGTCCTCCACGTCCGTCAAGTCGTAATGTTAACAAACACTTTGTACATTTTGAACTGCATTTCTTCAAATATGACAAACTGTTTACGTATCTCACACTGTTTATATTGGTTCGCTATGGTTTTAAATAAAAATATGAGTAAATTCATAAATTCACGATTATCATTTTAGTTTCTTTTGAAATTGACTGTTTTATGGTTTGCTAACAAGAATATATGAATATTAACCCCAAACTTAACCATCTTCCACGGCCCCTGCACGTCCGTAATATATTCTTTCTTTTCACACTTAGATGCAGGTACAATTACATTTGTATTCCAAAATCCCACCCAAATTTTTGGGGAGGAAGATGGTTCAGTGAGTGTTTGTTATGTGGTTTCGGGGAGCGCTGCTACCTTTAGCGTAACGTAAGTAGATTTTGTTGTATTTTTACATAATAATTTTCAGCATTTTCTCACTTTTTGAAAAATGAAACTGAAAAGTCTTCTTTTTCAACATAATTTCATTTAACCTTTAGACGAAAATACTCAAGCTATGTTTACCGTTTATAAATTTGCCCAACCAAAAGAGCGTACAACCAATTTCGTTTTTAACTGTTTAAGGTTGTTTCTTTTCATATTTTAAGATTTTCATCCAGAAATGGCACTGCAACAAGCGGAGAAGATTATTCATATGAAAAGGAAACACGCGAGCTTAAAGTCGATGGCAGGCAGCCCACGAGAGGCTGTGCAGAGATTTCTATCATTCAGGATAGCATTTACGAAGGAAACGAAAATTTCAAATTTTTTGCGGAGTTTAATGACCCTTTCAATGCTCAAATAACCGTTGTGGAAACCACAGTGACTATAATAGATGATGACGGTAATGAACTTTGAATGTACTTTTTTGTTCAAGTACACGAATTTTTATCGCATATAGCGTTACGAAAATAAGCATGAAGGGTTGAAAAACCCTTTTACTACAAGAAATAAATGCATCAGCATGTCATTTTGCGCCGACTCGTGGATAAAAATTAAAAAAATTTTTTTCGGATTAATGGAAAGCTTTGGTTAGTACGCAAAATTTCAGGCAAAATGGTTACAAGTAATAAACAACCTAAAACAATTGCATCATTGTTTTTTAATTAGTGATGGTCTTGGGTTTGCCATATCGTCCTCACTATCTCTCCCAATTGTCTCATCATTTGACATTAAGCTAGACAATTTCACATTACGATCTACCGAATTTCATATTTCAATGTCAAGTATTCTGCCCCATTTTTTTTGCGAAATGACAATAGGCTTGACCGTTTTACATTTCATGTATTTTAGGTGGTAATGGCCGTAGTAATGGTTAGTTTTACCATTTTAATTTGGTTTTAATTAGTTTTTGGGTTTTTAAATATTAAATTTTAAATTGGTTAAATTCAATTAAAATTTTTTTTTTCTTTGAGCAAATATTTTAAATCGTTTTAACCTTATTTTCGTCATTTTGACCAGCCAGCTTTTACAGTGTACGCCGAGCCAATATCTATTGTAATCATACAAGCCATGTTATTACTAATATACCATTATTACTCTATTAATTTTTGTTGATTTGGATTCCAAAAATCCTCATGGCAGAATATTTTAAAGTAATTATTGCATTTTCTTTATCTTTTAGATTTCGACGAATGCAGTGCAGGTTCCCATAATTGCCATCACAAAGCCTTCTGTAACAATACTGAGGGTTCTTTCAATTGTACATGCAAAAGCGGCTACTCTGGAAATGGAACAGATTGTCAAGGTTAGTAGTTAATATTAAATATATTTATGATATGATTCTTTAAGAATACTCCCAAAATGGAATTGAAGGACTTTTCGACGATCGCCTCTTGCAAAAACTATTTTATAGAAGTATATAAGGATGTTGATCATTTTGAAGTCTTAAGTTGTAAATAAATTTTTTACCTCTATGACAGTGTATGTATTTATGAATATTATTGTTTCTATAATTCTTATATAATTGTAACTAGGTGATTGAGGGTTTGAACCTGTTATGAATTTTATACCAAGATTTCTCACTTTTTCTCGTTTATTCATTTTTAAGATATCAACGAATGTAGTGCAGGTTCTCATAATTGCCATCGCAACGCCTACTGTAACAATACTGATGGTTCCTTCAATTGTACATGCAAAAATGGCTACTCGGGAAGTGGAACAGTCTGCCAAGGTTAGCCGTTGATGTCCTATATAAAAATTTCTCTCGGATCAAAACGTCAAAGGAAATTTTAATTCGATCGTTTCGTTATCATACGCAGAATAATTTTATAGAAATTTTTCATACATTTGCACGAATGATGATACATTGTGTAACAGAACTTTTCTTCAAAACGTACGAACCGAAAAAAACTACACTCACTACAGAGTAATTCTCATTTATCATCTGGAGTTTCGTATACATATAGCCTTTTACAACTACCCTTATAATTATAGGACTATAAACAAAAGAAGTGTTTTCAAAAGGCACTTGAATAAGAAGTTTGACAAGATTTCGAGGAGCAAAACAACGATTTTTACACGCCTTCGTTGATTATTTCTTTAGATATAAACGAATGTAGTGCAGGGTCTAATAATTGCGACCACAACGCTTACTGCAACAATACTGATGGTTCTTTTAATTGTACTTGTAAAAAAGGCTACTCGGGAAGTGGAACAGATTGCCAAGGTTTGTAGTAAATATTTCATATTTCAAATGCAAAGTTAAAGGAAATTCAGATTTTGAATTAAGATAATTTTGTTATTATGGGTAGAACATTTTGTATAAACTTTCTTATGCATATACATCCTCTACGAATGTTATGAATGGTTTCTCATCTTCCATTGTGATATCTGCTGCAGAAAACTGAGATTCACTCGATTCTTCGCGAGACTCGCATGATTCGCATGTGGTCTATCGCTTCCTGCTGCCATGCATGGTTAATTAGTTATCATCACTTTCAGTTGCGTCGGGTTGATAAAGATAAATCTTCAGATAAATCTTTAAACAATGTTAGACTTATTTGATGGACACTGTGTACTTTGAACTCACCGAATATTTCTTTTCAGATAGCAAACATGCAGCCGTTCAAATAAAGGATAATATTTACAGAAATTGGAGTACAAAAAATTATTAACAACTGAACTATACAAACAAACAAACATAGACTTAGATGCGGAATTATTTATCTGTTGTGTTGAAAAACACTTTTGAAGAACTCTTTGACTTGTATCTCTCGATTGATTATAGACTAATATCGTTTCGGGATGGACTATTTGGATGCATGACTTTTTTCCGTTTTGGAATCTACAGCGAAAATCTAGATACGAATACATCATCACTGCTGTTGAGGCGGACGGTGGAAGTTTTTTATAAAACTATTCGTGCAGTCCTCCACGTCCGTCAAGTCGTAATGTTAACAAACACTTGTACATTTTGAACTGCATTTCTTCAAATATGACAAACTGTTTACGTATCTCACACTGTTTATATTGGTTCGCTATGGTTTTAAATAAAAATATGAGTAAATTCATAAATTCACGATTATCATTTTAGTTTCTTTTGAAATTGACTGTTTTATGGTTTGCTAACAAGAATATATGAATATTAACCCCAAACTTAACCATCTTCCACGGCCCCTGCACGTCCGTAATATATTCTTTCTTTTCACACTTAGATGCAGGTACAATTACATTTGTATTCCAAAATCCCACCCAAATTTTTGGGGAGGAAGATGGTTCAGTGAGTGTTTGTTATGTGGTTTCGGGGAGCGCTGCTACCTTTAGCGTAACGTAAGTAGATTTTGTTGTATTTTTACATAATAATTTTCAGCATTTTCTCACTTTTTGAAAAATGAAACTGAAAAGTCTTCTTTTTCAACATAATTTCATTTAACCTTTAGACGAAAATACTCAAGCTATGTTTACCGTTTATAAATTTGCCCAACCAAAAGAGCGTACAACCAATTTCGTTTTTAACTGTTTAAGGTTGTTTCTTTTCATATTTTAAGATTTTCATCCAGAAATGGCACTGCAACAAGCGGAGAAGATTACTCATATGAAAAGGAAACACGCGAGCTTAAAGTCGATGGCAGGCAGCCCACGAGAGGCTGTGCAGAGATTTCTATCATTCAGGATAGCATTTACGAAGGAAACGAAAATTTCAAATTTTTTGCGGAGTTTAATGACCCTTTCAATGCTCAAATAACCGTTGTGGAAACCACAGTGACTATAATAGATGATGACGGTAATGAACTTTGAATGTACTTTTTTGTTCAAGTACACGAATTTTTATCGCATATAGCGTTACGAAAATAAGCATGAAGGGTTGAAAAACCCTTTTACTACAAGAAATAAATGCATCAGCAGCCCCTCGTCATTTCAATTTTTGAAATAATCACCTGGGCTATCCAGATCTAAGCTTAATTAAATTATATTACAAAATGCTTGAAATCAGTCGATAGCATTTCCATTTTTTGTCGAAATTACTCTCATAAAAGTGAAATAAACCTTTCACGTCTTTCTGCTGCATTACGACTTCTTGCAGCTTAAGGTGGCTCGATACAGTTTCAAGAATTTTTGGGACAAATTTTAAACAGGGGTGTTAGCAGGGGTTGATCCAGCACTAGTGCTATTTTGAGCGGTTCTCTTGTGTCATGCAAATTAGTGCTCTAGTGGGAGATCATGCAAATTAGTGCTCTAGGCATCAAAATGTTTGACTAGAAGGCTAAAAGTTAGTATTCTTTGGAGGAAACGTATTTAGATGGGAAATCTATTCAGAACTTGACATGAACAAATAGCTAGAACAACTTGCCAGAACAAATTTACCATGGCAACAGAGACCATTCAAAATGGCTGCCAACAGGGTTTACTAATTTTATGTCCCAAACGAGTTCTGTGACCCGCAATTTTTTTTCGCATGAAGCCTTCGCGCTATAGATGCTTTAAAGGTTTTCGAGTTTTAGGTTTTAACCTTCAGCTGTATCGCTCTTCTTTCATCACTGATCCGTAGCTTTATTTGCGTCGTTTATCGATTTCCTTTCTCATAAATAAATAATCAGGGGGTTCGGGGGCATGCGAAGAAGCGAAAATTAGCGACCCGCAAATGTGATTTCTTGCATTTTCCGCGTGAGATTTTGCAGAATAAAGTCAGGTTTCTGAGGTCTATTTAGTGCATAAAGAACATGATTTCCTCCCCCAACTTCGATTAAATCTCGGATTAAATTATGTACAGTTGCTATAAAAGTTAGTAAAGTTACAAACTTACAAAACGATAGAAGTGTTTCGTAACAACATGGTGAGTTTAGCTGCGGCAATCAGTTTTGGCACATAGGGTAGCCAGTGCACAAACGGAAAAGCATGTTTATTTCAATTATTTTCGTTTCCTTTAATTCGGGTTTACGCAAGCTGCAAGCAAATGTATTCTACCATATTCTACCATATTTGAGCATTCTTAAATATTTTTATGTAGTGTGGAGAACATAAGTACAAATTGCCCGACTCATAAATACAAATTGCCCGACTAATTAATATTTCTGACTAAACTGGGGGGATATGTTGATTCATCTTCTCCGGGTTGAATTTTATTTGGATTCGAAAAATCCCGATGGCAGAATGTTTTAACGTAATTATTGCATTTCTTATTTGATCTTTTAGATTTCGACGAATGCAGTGCAGGTTCTCACAATTGCCATCACAACGCCTACTGTGAAAATATTGATGGTTCTTTCAATTGTACATGCAAAAGCGGGTACTCTGGAAATGGAACAGACTGTCAAGGTTTGTAGTTGATATTAAGTAATTATATTTATTATATGATTCTGTAAAAATACTACCAAAATGGAATAGAAGGGCTTTGCGACGATCGCCTCTCCCAAAAACTATTTTGTAGAAGTATATAAGGATGTTGATCATTTTGAAGTCTTAAGTTCTTAATAAATTTTTTACCTTTATGTGTATATATTTATGAATATTGTTATTTCTATAATTCTTATATAATTGTAACTAGGTGATTGAGGGCCACAAGTTTATCAGCCTATGCTGTTGTGTGTTATTAAAAAAATAAGACTTTGAACATAATTTTATACCATAATTTCTCACTTTTTCTCGTTCATTCCTTTTTGAGATATCGATGAATGTAGTGCAGGTTCCCATAATTGCCATCACAACGCCTACTGTAACAATACTGATGGTTCTTTCAATTGTACATGCAAAAATGGCTACTCGGGAAGTGGAAAAGTCTGCCAAGGTTAGCCGTTGATGTCTAATATAAAAATTTCTCCCGGATCAAAACGTCAAAGGAAATTTAATTCGATCGTTTCGTTACAGAATAATTTTATATAATTTTTTCATATATTTGTACGAATAGTAATACATGGTGTAACAGAACTTTGCTTTAAAACGTATCAACCGAAAAAAACTACACTCACTACAGGTAGCAGGTACAGCAAGTACCTGCTACCTGTAGTACCTAATGGTACCTAATTCTCATTCAGTATCTGGAGTTTCGTACACATATAGTCCTATACAACTACCCTTATAATTACAAGTATATAAACAAAGTGAGTGTTTTTTAAAGGCACTTAAACTAAGAAGAAGTTTTACAAAAATTCGAGGAGCACAACAACGGTTTTAAATAAATATACAAGTATTCATAAATTCACGATTAGCATTTTTAGTTTCTTTTGAAATTGATTGTTTTACAGTCTGCTAACAAGAATATATGAATATTAACCCCCAACTTAACCATCTTCCACGGCCCCTGCACGTCAGTAATGTATTCTTTCTTTTCACATTTTGATGCAGGTACAATTACATTTGTATTTCAAAGTTCCACCCAAACTGTTCGAAAGGAAAATGGTTCAGTGAGTGTTTGTTATCGTGCATTTAGCAATTTGGGGGGCGTTGTTGCCATTAACGTAACGTAAGTAAACTTCGTTGTATTTGTTCTTTATAATTTCTCAGCATTTTCCTACTTTTCCCAACATCAAACTGAAAAGTCTTCTTTTTCAACATAATTTTATTCAATCTTTAGACGGAAATACTTAAGCTATGTTTACCGTTTATAAATTTGTACAACCAAAAAAGCATACAACCAATTTCGTTTTTAACTGTTTAATGTGTTTCTTTCCATATTTTAAGATTTGCATCCAGAAATGGCACTGCAACAAGTGGAGAAGATTACTCATACGAAAAGGAAACACGCGAGCTCAATATAGTCGATCCCAGAGGCACATTTGGCTGTCAAGAGATTTCTATCATTCAGGATAGCATTTACGAAGGAAACGAAAGTTTCACATTTTTTGTGGAGTTTAATGACCCTTTCAATGCCAAAATAACTGTTGTGGAAACCACAGTGACTATAATAGATGATGACGGTAATGAACTTTGTACTTTTTTTGTGCAAGTACACGAATTTTTATCGCATATAGCGTCACGAAAATAAGCATGAAGGGTTGAAAAACACTCTTACTACAAGAAATACATGCATCAGCAACCCCTCGCCATTTCAATTTTGAGAGAATCACCTGAGCTATCCAGACTTAAGCTTATATTACGAAATGCTTGAAATCAGTCGATAGCATTTCCATTTTTGTCGACAAATACACTCATAAAAGTGAAGTAAACCGTGGACGTTTTTCTGCTGCATTTAGCAGGAAATTTATGTATTCTTACAACGGGACGCCGGAACGATGCGAGGGCAAAGGGGGCAGATTTTGATGAAAGGGCACTTCTGTAGCGGTGCATTAGTAAAGAATGTTTGCAAAAATTGTCAGTTGAACTTCGCATCGTCGTGATTTCGGTGCATTAATAAAGAAAGTTTATTTGAAAAACTTCGTCAGTTGACTTTCGTATCATCGTGATTTCTCTTTCCAAGATAATTTCTGTGTCTAGACGATTGTGTTATTCTTGATGCTCGTTTGTAACACTTCTACTTCGGATATAGAATGTAAATAATCTTTTAAAATGAAAGGGCATTTTTGCCCCCTTGCCCCTGCTGGTAAAAGGCAAGGGAGGCAGTTGCCCCTGCTGCCCCCCCTGTTCCGGCGTCCCTGTTCTTACAGTTGAAGGTGGCTCGATACAGTTTCAAGAATTTTTTGGCGCATATTTTAAACATGAGTATATATTAGCAGGGTGGATCCAGCACTAGGGCACTAATTTGCATTACAAAACAAAATGGTTATTTTGAGCAGTTTTCTTGTGTCATGCAAATTAGTGCACTAGTTCTGGATCTACCCCTGGGAATTAGGCATCTAAATGTTTGACTAGAAGGCTAAAAGTTAATATTCTTTGCAGGAAACGGATCGGAAATCTATTCAGAACTTGATGTAAACAAATAGCTAGAACAACTTGCAGAACAAATTTACCATGGCAACAGAGACGTTTCAGAATGGCTGCCAACAGGGTTTAATCGTTTTATGTCCCAAACTAGTTTGGTGACCCCCAAGTTTTTCTTTATTAAACGTTTACGGTATAGATGCTTCATCTATAAAAAAGTTTTCTATTTTTTTCTATTTACAAAAACGCATTAAAAATATTCCCCATGACAGAATTTTTTAAAAACATTTTTATGGACAAAGCACCTAAAGCGTAAATGTTTAATGCCAAAAAAACGGGAATCACCGGTATAAACTTTATTGGATTGATATAAACAGAATTAAACCTTGTTTGGCGTCCATTTTGAAACGTCTCTGCTGCCATGTTAGCAGGTGCCAGGCACAAGTTCTGAAGTTATTTCCGCTCTAGGTATGTTACCAGCTAAGTATATTAACTTTTAGCTTTCTAGCGAAACATTAAATGCCTAACATCCCTGTTTAAAATGTGCATCTAAAAATTTCAAGAAAAAATATCGAGCCACCTTGATTAACTGTTAAAAAATTCAACTTTCAAAACATCAAAACAGTACAAAATCTTCAAAGACTAATCGTCAGTTAATGGTAGCTACTTATACTTCGAATATTTATGCTCTGGTTATTGGCATTTTTCAGGCGACTCTAAAGTTTGAGTGAAATTGGTTTTATCAAAATACGAATCTAAACGTTCAAAAACCTTTTTGAATTTAAAGTAATGTTGGGATAGCTTTTTGTACTCGGTTATGTCTTAAATATGGCTACTGCCATACTGTACTATGCAAATATGGCTACTCGGGAAATGGAACATACTGCCAAGTTTAACAAGAACACAACATGGCTTAATTTTGAAGCATGGTGATTTGTTATTGTATGCATGATACGAGACGACTTGTATTATTGTTGTATATAATTGCTAACTTCTATCTTGTTTTTTTTTAGTTGCTGAAGTAAATGGTAAGTGTTCTTGATTTAACATTCTTTAATTGCATAAACCTAGTTGGATGCCTTACTTTTCTCGCAATAATTATTATAACGCAAAATTATGATGCGCTTTGAAAATTCAAATACAATGCGTTTTATTTGATCACTGTAGTTCATTGTGTAGGCGACATAATGTTTTATAATAATATTATATCTTTTTAACAATTTAACTCGTGACAGAAAAAAAAACAACTTCCATACTATCGGACGCAATTTGACAACGCGACGTGATATTTTCGAGCTTTGTAATTTCGAGGAGCAATTATAGATTTAATCTTTTCAAATAATTTTGAGAATTATTAATTCGTGGCGTATTCAATCCAACGTCAAATATCAAAATCAATAATGCAGCATATGTGACATCAGTGGCGTAGCCAGCCTGACGATTTTGTCCCGCTATGTAAATTTCGAGTTATTATATTTATTCATTTCTTTACAGATTTATTGTTTTCACAGTCAATGAACACTAAAATATTAGCATAGCAGGACAAATCGTCAGGCTGGCTACGCTACTGTGCGACATATTACAGTTGATTTCATAAAACTTTGGCCGCTCCAGTTGCGAACTCTGTTTGTCCCTTCCGTTTTGTAATTTGTAACGAATTTCCGAAGTTCAAATCGAACTTCGGAATTTCAAAGCAATTTTAATGCAGCAAAGAAATATTATTGTAATTGCTTTGTCCTGGTATTTTATAGTGGTCATTTTATAGCGATTTAGTCGAATTGCCCGCAAAGGTGAGTCGAAAGTCGAGTTGAAATTCTGAAGTTCAAATCGAACTTCCGAACTTCTTCGCGAATTACAAAACAGAAGTGTCAACTTCCCCACCCACTTGACAGCTTCCAAACATACGCCTGTATTCTAAAAGCTCACTCACACTCAAACTCATTGAGTGGAAGATCTTAATATTCTCATAACGTTTCAATGACGGTATTTCCAGCCGAACAGGGGCTTGATTTTCAGTGATTTACCTTATATCTTTCCATCTATTCAGAAAAAACTTTCTCATTGATCAGCATTAACGAAATTTATATGTCACACTCGATGAGTATGAGTGTGAGTGAGCTTTTTGAATACAGGCGATAGTTTACCTCAATGACATATGCAATTCAGGTTTCAAACACAATTAAACTTTGATGTAGAAAACCTCATTCTACATCAACTTCTTTTGTCCAGCTCCCTTTATTTAAAACAATTCAGCGTCTATATGGAATTTTGTACTCATTTTGTACTCATGTAACTAATTTTCATCAGTTTCTAAAGCGCCCGTCTACGGTTATATAGGTACCGAAAAGTTAACAGAAGTTGACAAAAGTGTAGTTGGGCACGTAAAACAAGTCCTAATAGTTGTCTTGGCATGGCTTGGGCTATGTTTTGCGGTTGTGTTTGTAATTGTAATAATTGCTGGTTTTAGGTAAGTGAATGATAAGGGTAGCACTGGTAGAATGGTACCTGTTCAGAAAAATAATATTGTATTTCTTAATACAACGGCGAAAAATATAAAAAAAGAGTAAATAAATAAGAAGAAAATAAAAAATGATTTTGGTTTTGCTCCCAAGTAATATTTCACGCGGCAACGCGACGCAATTTTTCGGAATTTTTCAGTTTTTAAAAGCAACCAAGTTTGATATGATATTCAATACTTAAGAATTACTTCAGGGATTTTTGTCTGCAAAAGGGGGGGGGGCTGGGCGGGTAAGGCACACAAGTTATGGGGCAGTAATATGGCGAAAAATAGCAAAATAGCATAAAAGGAAGGTTACCAGTTTTGTTTTACTTTTTTTGCAAAGGGGTCACTGCATGCTCCTGTTTCGCCTTTTTCTATCTAAAGCTCTAATCTTCACCTTCATTTTCATAACAATTTCACCGCTTGAACAGTTCAACCCCTAATTTGTGTTATATGCCCTGGTTTAAAGTTTAGCAATTATTTTTTATGTTAATTTTAGGCTGATAGAAAATAAAAGGCGATATGATTTCAAACCAAGTGTGATCACTGATCCAGGACACCATCCCACGTTTAATCATCTCTATTAGGGCAATGACAACTATCCCTGATGATGTAAAAGAAATTGGAATACCTTTTAAAAGGAAAAAACTTTTCTGCACCGTACATTTTTAGTTCTTAGCCCGGGAATTTCAGGGCCAAAACATATTCAATAATTTGGGAGTTACATAGTTCGCATATTCAAAGTAGTCCTGTCGGATTTCTTTTGCACGACGTATATTAAAGAACTAGTTTCGGCTCTGCTTGGAATAAACACTGGAAGTCACATTTTGACTATAATTATCATCAATGGAACCAACAATGGTTAATATATACAGTATATAATAATAATAACATTTTAATCTTATATAGTGCATCTTCTATATATGTCCAGAAGCGCTTTACATTAAAAAGTGTATAAAATTACAATTATTGTCAATTGGCAATCGTTTGTTATTAAATGTTCAACCATATCTCGTGAGACGTAAATAAAATCGACATCTTTATATACACAGTTCTAAACAAATGTGTTTTTAATCCACCCTATGTTAAAACTACGGACTCCGACATTCTTAGTGTCTGTGGTAGGTTATTCCATAATATTGCACCATGGTGCAGATATCGTAAAAAATAATTGCAATTAATTGTAGATAAATGATATATTTTGTCACTATGTTTCGCACTGGCTATTGCGAATACCAAGATCTGTTGCTCGCATCGACAAGTGATTAAATGTAAAACGCAATCATTTGCATTTTTCCCGAAGCGCCGGGCAAGGGTGCAATATTTTTCCTAATCATGATAAATGATTTGTTATCTGACAAGGATCGAAGGCGAAAATATGTGGATGATACAAATGTATCTGAAGTTTTTCCTAAAGGCGAGCAAGGTAAAATGCAATCCATCGTTAATGCAATAAACTGCTGGTGCATAGATAACGATGATATGAAAGTCAACCAAGCTAAGTGTCAAGACTTGCATGACTATCTCTTCTGCGAAAGCCCATCAAAATCTAGACCCAAATTTCGTAAATAACCACGAACTACTTCTGGTATTTTAAGCGAAAATTTTAGGTGTCCATATTTCAGTGGATTTTAAATGGAATACACACATTGCGTATATATTATATCCAAGCCCTCTAAACGCCTCTATTTCCTACGCCTATATAATATTGAAACATGCTGGTCTTCACCACGCTTCTCTTGTAACTGTCTATACTACCCGTATAAAATCAGTCCTTGAATATGGTTGCCTGTTGTGGAATTTTGGAGCCGCTCAGTATCTCTTGCATCAAGCGTGTTCAGAAGCGAACTATTTATCCTGATATTCCTAACATGAAGGCTTTGGAAGCTGTGTCGCTCCCAAATCTATCACAAAGACGATATCATAAAGATATCATAAAAATATACAATATTACTTAAAAACCTTTTCTAAACTGCAACATTTAATTCTACCTGTCATCTGATCTCACCATGAAACAGATAATAATAAGTGTCAAAGGGTCTGTTCACACTATGGTCGATCTTAGATCGATTTGGCCGGATCGATCTCAGATCGATCTCAGGACGATTTTAACGTATTTTTCTGCCTGTTCACACTGCCTCGGCAAACCTGGTCCTATCTTATTTATTTTTAATTCGGATCTCTTCGGAAGAACATCGTAAGAGGTCGGGTTCTGAAACAAGATGGCGGCAGACGAGGCGGCAGAGACACTGGGCAGAGATCATTTCTGTCGCTTTGGCTTTTATAACAAATTACAAAAAAAAATCCAAAAGAGACGTATATGCTTAAGGAGGAAATATATGAAGACATTAAGTCAATGGAGAAGAAACGTTAAAAAGAGAGAAGCTGTGCTATTCTTGTATTTTCGAGCACTGTGTAGCAGATCATTCTCTGAACGACGGTTTTGGGTTCAAGAAAGTAAATGCATTGGATCATTTTGGGAAAAAAACGGTTGCTCTTTGGAAAGAAGACAGTCTTTGGCTTCAAAATTTTCGAATGTCTCGGGAAACTTTCGATTTTGTGTGTCACAGAATATCTGGCGATCTTTCGCGTCAAAACACAAGCTTCCAAAAAGCGATATCTGCTGAAAAAAGAGTGGAAATTTGCTTATGGCATTTGGCCACTGGTGAAGATCTCGTTCTCTAGCATGGCGCTTTGGGGTTGGAAAAAGCACAGTGTGCGAAATTGTTCATGATGTTTGCCAAGCAATTGTAGACACGCTACTTACTAGGGTTATTAAGTGGCCAACAGGTGAAACCCTGCGTACTGTCCTTAATGGTTTTCACCAGATCTGGGGTTTCCCTCAGTGTGCTGGAGCGATCGATGGCACACATATCCCTATTGTTGCCTCACGACAATCATCAGCCGATTATTATAATCGGAAGGGTTTTATTCCATTGTTCTGCAGGCTGTGGTTGATCATGAGTACAGGTATGAGGAAATATTTCACCAAGTTAACAATCCATTGATTCCATTCATTATAGTCATGTTCAAGCATTTTGCGCATGCTATTTCTATAAGAGTATAGGCAGCACTACTGCCTTTAGGTAACCTAGTTAGAGCAGTTAGATTGTGGGTTTGTTATTATTTAAATACAATGTGTTTGTCCTATATTAGATGACCATGAACATAAGTGGGTGCGATGTACCAGTCATGTTAATTGGAGATCCAGCATATCTACTTTTGCCTTGGCTAATGAAGCGATATCCAAATGATGGTAATCTTCATCAAGATCAGAAGAAATTCAATTATCGTCTAAGCAGAGCACGACAAGTGGTGGAATGCGCATTTGGACGGCTGAAGAACAGATTTAGATGCCTGCTTAGCAAAAGCTATACAAGTTTGCAATACCTACCAATCAAAGTTGCAGCATGCTGAGTGCTCCATAATATATGTGAGATGAGGGAAGATATGCTTGAGCCTATTGCTAATGATGAACTTGAGCTTATTGCTAATGATGATGAGACTGTTAATGCTGTCTACCAAGTAAATAATGCTAATGCAGAAAAGATAAGAACCTCAATAATTAAAGAATATTTCATAACAAACTAAGAAGGATTTATTTACTTGAACAAATTCATGTTGTAGTAATTAGTTTATGTATAACAGTTTGAGTACCACAAATAGACAGTTACACTAAAGAAAACTGAGGCAATCAGTAGACCAATTCCTTATAAAAAGAAATTAATAATAACAATAACGTAAATGTGTAACTTCATTATTTAACATCAATGATCAACAAAAATGTATAAGTGTATACAACAGTATAAACAGTATGTTAATGCTCAGTTAAAGCTTAAAATAGGTTGGCTGGTTTTCAATGTTTATATCATGTTGCAAAGGTATAGGGTAGAAAGGTGGTTGATAAACTGGTACTGATTGTGCTACAGGTTGTGCTACTGGTTGTGCTCTTCCTGCAACGGCACTTGCAAGAAGTGCCATTGCATCTTTAAAAGCACCAAGCTCCTCTTTCCGTAATTCTCTTTCTTTTTCTGCTTGTTCCCGTATTTCAGACAAGAATTTCTTGTCTGATTCTTGCATTCAAGTAGTGTGTTCTTTAATTGCATTTCCAAATGCAACTTGCATTTTCGAGGGTTTTTTCTTTCTTTCATTTACGTTTACTGGACGTTGTTGTTTTGCCATCTTTATCGTTGGTAGGTGCAGGAGTTGTAGGCTTCTCAATTCCGCTGGTTGATTCCTTATTTTCACCATCCTGATCAACTACAGTTTACAAGTGAGCAGAAAGTGTTTTTATTCATTAATCTACTGAACTGCAGAGTTAAGACCTTGAATGAAAACTGAAATGGCCTATTATCTATTTGTTCTCTGCTTGCTATGTGATTATTAAGATTGTACAAAATCCGATCCCTTTATTGTAATACTGCTCTACCTTCTGTGTAATTACAGTACGGACACACCATTTGGTCATCGTCACAGGATACTGCCAAGGTATTGTTATTACCAGTGTGAGTGCCAGCTGTCCTCAATTCAAACTTTTCGTAACACTCAGGACATTGCTTTTCAATCATCTTCCTTCGCCATACTTCTGCACTAGGTCGTCTTCTGCTAAATATTTAAAAAACCTCAATTGAAACCAGAACAAAAGGTCCAACTATGGTCTAAAAAAGCTCGTAAAAATAATTATCAACTCACCATCTGAAATTTCTGAAACCGAACCCGACGGAAGAGCGTCACCGGATGAGTCGATGCTGTTTTCTAGTCCTTCGGCTTCACGACGATCACCAAGAAAACTGTCCATCATTTCAAAATATTTGGGCTGCTTGCATCTCGGGCCCCAGATCGCGATAAGTTATCTTTGTGCTTCTTATATGCTGACTTTAAGTGCTTTAACTTTGTTCGGCATTGCGTCCAATCCCGATTTATTCCTTTTTTTTCAACAACTCGCTAACTTTTCTATAGATATCCGTGTTTCTGTGAACCCCTTGAAGCTTTTTTTGGATTTCTTCAGTCCCCCACGCCGCAAGGAGTTCCAAAGTTTCTTTGTCAGACCATACATCTCCTTTTCTCGACATTTTCGACGAAAAAACAAGCTTTTTCACTGAATTTTACAGTCGATTAGCAGAATAATATAAAACTGAAGTCTGCAGCGTTCATTAAATTCTGCGACGCCCGCGCGAAGGCGGGAAACTTTGGGGAATGGGAGCTAGACACTCACTTAATTTCAATCCAATTATGTTCACACTTGACAAAAAGATCGATCTCGAATTGATCTGAGATCTACTTTTCAAGCGGACTGACTCAGATCGATCTGAGATCGATCCTAAACTTTCGGCGAAGGTTCACACAAGGCATGCTTTGTCTTGGATCGATCTCAGATCGATCTAACAGTGTAGTGTGAACAGGCCCAAAGAGACCAGGATCATGATTTTATTATTTGCAAATTGCTTCATCAGTTTCGATTATAATGGTAAAGGGCCAGCTAAAAGGATTCCATCATTTTATGAAATAATACAAAAAAAAAATTCAAAAAGCCTTGGACTCTTTGAACCTTCGTCTAGGGGATGATTTGTGGGAATTCAATTTCTACAGTTTTCCCTCCCTTTTTACTTTACAGCTGGAACGCCATTTACTCCAAGGTTTGTAGTAAACCCAACCCCTTTTTGCCCAATTCATCAATTGGCTCTCGAAGCTTCTCTAATCTGTTTGAGCTTTGGGAATGAAAAAACCTTCGGTTTTGTCGTCGTACCTCGTTCCAGCGATAAACACACAAAAAAACACTTTCCAGCGAACCAGTCGATCTTGCCATGTCATTATCTACTCTATATGTGACTTTTTTCCGTCCGAACACTGATGTTTTTCATGTTTTCCTTATCTAATTTTCTGTTCCAGTGCACACTTCCTATCAGTGACTGTGTCAACAACAACAGTTGTAAAAAGAACGATGAAAGCTCTTGCTTTGCCGTTCATTATGCTTTAGAAAAAACGGTAAACTCAAATTACTACGAGGACTTCTTTCTTTTCACACAAAAAGAAACTCAAAAATTCCGTACCTTATATTTGCAAGCGATTATTTTTTCTGTCTGCACTTCATTGGATATAATTTTGGTCATTTTTCCCGCGCTTTAACAAAACCTCGCACATGCACGTAACGTTTACCCGCGCTAATTGAACAAACCACTAGATTTCTTGACTGAAATAGCGTGTGGTCTCGACTTGCAGGCGATCTCGTTGGAAAACACTGGCGTTGTACAGAACTGACTAGCTTGATTTGGGCATTCTGCAACTTTTCTACTCTCAGGCCCTATTCACCCCACTATGGACGCCGGTTCATTATCTGTAGAAATTTCTGAACGCCGGCGTTGAACGAATTGGATAAATCCGAATCGAACATTAATTAGCCCCATGCCGCACTTTCTGATGACGGTATCTTGACGGAGTAACGTGAAATAAAGACGTCGAGGCGCTTTACTTCATCAGTTACAGCTCAAATACATCAACATTTCTCTTCCGGCCGAGAGGGTCCGGCCGAGATGGATCGTTGATCTATCTCAAACGTGTCGCTGGGGCGAAGGCCTCTCGAGGCATAATCCGCCGGGTTCGCTTGAGATGCTATGAATGGTGGCTTTGATTCTATTTGAGAACTTGAATGAAGACGCATGTCGAATCCTCCAAAACGTAACTTTGCTCAGCGTCCAGTAGACCTCTTGCTGAATTTGACGATTGAAATTGCTGATTGATGCTGTCCTGTTGCTCCATCAGCTCTAGTCGTGGGATGGTGGTTGCTTGATTCATGCCACCCTTGAATTCCCCATCAAGAGAGCGCAATGGACTTTGTTATCGACATCCTTACAACGCATGTAAGAAACACATACATATCCAACTTAAGATGCCTCATAGAAATGGTGCAACTGCTGGAGACGTTTGGCTTGGATAACCAAGCAGGGCGTATATAAGATAGGGCGTTAAAACGGCACTACATTGGTATGAAACATGCGTGATGTACTTTAGGACTGGGTCTAGCGAAGAAGGGCGCCAAAGGTTACCAAATCAAAATTTTAATTTGAAACTCAAAAAGACGAACTCTGAATTGCATCAGATTCCAGTTGATTCATTTCCACTAGTTGATGGACATTGCAATCTTTCAGAAATTGCTGTGGACCAGAATCAGGCAATCTCTTATCAGGAACCTGGTTGAACACAATACTTGTTGCCACAGCATGAACACTTCGGTTTTGGACATCCTGCCTTATATCATGCGCTTGGTCCTCCCAATGAATATTGTTCAAAACGTAAACAAAGGAATGTTCACTTTTAACTAATTCTGCTGCACGGTCGATGAAGTGCTTGCCAATGTCTTCCAGAATTGGGTATTTCATTTTCACTATGGATATTTCATAATCCATATTTATGCAGACAGGCAATCAGCTAAATAATGCAATGAACAATATACACTTAATGTATGCTCCCGAGGGAAATAGTGAGTTTTGTTTTTCCAAGAGCCTGAATGTTACCCGAGGCTCAATATGTCATCCTCGCTACCTTTTCCTTTGTCCTCAGTCAGAACCTGTCTAATACAGTGCAAATACAAAGTCATATCACAATTAATAGAATATACATGGTTTGGAGACTTAAATAAAAGTACAATACAACTCATTAACTATGTTATTGTCCACGTTTATGCACGTGTCTATTGTATTTTAGCCAAAAGTACCAATGGCATTCGTCTTGCTAAGCTCATCAACCTTGACTTGAAAAATATGTTAATTATAAGATTGCTATTGGTTTATCCGTGTAAAATACAATAGACATGTGATGAGAAAGGAACAATTTTTTGCATAAATCTACCTCAACATAGTTAATGAGTTGTATTGTAGTTTTATATGGTCTCCAAACCATGTATATTCTATTACCTGTGGTCATATCAAGGAGAGTAATACAATTAAAATTACCACATATGACATGTTACATGTTAGTCACTAATGCACATATATTGGTGTATTTAATATACGTAGCAAAGGTTCAATGCTATAGGCTAGCTGCAAGCATCAGGCATTAAAACAAAATAGTTGGTGGCAATTTGTAAGAAAATAGTAAATAAGTAAAAAACTCACATGTACAGATGCCTGGCCTTCTATCTCTCCTTCTATCTCCTGGCCTTTTGTCTCAAAATTATCCAGCTATCCGATCACATATCACCATGCATACTTCATAAAACTTCTCTTCGCTACGCTGACGATAACTAGATCTAGGTTCGGGTGGGATCTCTTTCTGTGGTTTGAGGACTTGTCTGCAACCATAACGCATAGACACTTTTTTTTCAAGGAGCTTCAAGAGTCCCAGTGAGAATGTGCCAAATGCGGGTACAAGCTTAGCTGGTTTCGGGTGAGTGGCTAAAGTATGGTGAATCTACTTGCGACATATTGGCTGTCTGCTGAGTTTCGCTTGTCGTTAGCAGAACCCTTTCTTCTTTTTGTCGCCGTAGTGGCCTTTTGTCTCCGTAGTGGTGGTAGGCATTCCAACATTAGCCAGCTAGAGCTGTAAGTTTCGCATTTTTTTGTCTTCAAGATGCAATTTGATGAACTTTTTAAGCGATCCATTTATCATCGGTGCTATGTACTTACCACACGTGCTTCTTAATTTTGTTTGCTTTAGTAAATGAAGATTCCAAAACTTCGTAAGGAACACCTATTACGCCTTTGAAAATATTTATAAATTTAAAATGAATACACGTTGATGAGTACAGAAAATCGCGCAATGGCAAATCATTTACAAACAAACCTGATTGTTTTGCACTATAAACAATCCATTGCCCTAATTCGAGGTTGCAACAGCTGAACATTCGAAGGATCGTTTCTTCAGTTTCTTTGTCTGGCTGCTCGACATCTGATAGTACTGGCTTTCTACAACTTTAATAAATTCGAAATCGTCTGCTAGCTTGTAGGTTCCTTTCCCGTGAACTGCTAAAAACTGTCCCTCAAACTGACATTTTACGACCGACGCGATATTTTTCACAACATCGACCAACGAACGAGACACATACGTTTTCTTTAACGTACCTGTTCAGGCATTCGCTAGCGTTCTGTGTATGTATACGTCGTTGGAGGGAATCGCAAATGCACATTGACCGGGTGTCTGCTCGCCTGCTGTCTTTGATAGTGTTAGCTGGACCAGCCAAGAAATACTGAAGGAACGAATCTGCATTTGGATGAAGCTTGGGCCACCACACCTTTTCTTGATATCCTCCAATGCAAGATTTAATTCCTTTTCCGATGTACAATCGACAAGACCACCTTTAATAAAGTGAAATTTAGAATATAATAATTAATGCTTCTTCTAAATGTTAAGAATTAACTGTTTAATCGGATATATATCGATAAAAAATTTTATCTAATCCCTGTTAGTAAAGGGAATAATACCCAATAATTCGTAGATTTTACACATGTATATATATAGATACAAACCTTCTCTGACACCATTTAGAGTACAGCCAAACCTATCGCATCTTTTTCACGAGCAGGAATAAGGTCACTCTCAATTCCGACAACTTGTGCTTTATGTTGTCCTTAGGGTGCATGTCGCATCGTAAGTGAATGGCTACGTTAGTGAAGACGTTCGACATAGCTTTCCATAATTTTTCTTCACCGTCTGTGCCAACTAAAAGGATATCTGACGTTTCCAGACGGTATTTTACCAGGGAAGAAGGGAAAGTATAGTGCGAAGACTCTATAACCTTTTCTTGTCCAAAACATCCGGACTAATGCAAATGGGATTCACACCTAGGCTTGTTTCCAACAAAAGATTTGGGTACGTCCCGAACGTAAATGATACTTAGCAACATTAAAAAATTTAATGTTCTCGACTCGACTGAGATTCACCTTGGCTGATGTTGAAGTCAATGCTGCGACGTCGTAGAGTTCCAGCTAAATAAACTTTTGCGGGCGCTTTGAAGAAGGCTATCGTTTTGTGGCAATTTACAACCATAAATAGGCTCGGCGTTGCGTAGAACCGCCTGATTTTGAGCACGAAACAAATTCCTGCAGTGTTTCGGGTTAGTAACAGAGTTGCACCGTCTATAGCAAGAAATACTACAAGTGGAATCGGTTTGTTTCTTGTAAAGTTTTTTCGGCGTGTCTTTGCTAGCTATGGACTCGATTGAACTGAGCGGTTTCGAGCGTGCTCTTTGAAATTCGAGCTTTATTCGACGCATGGTATGCAATATGAGACTCGATACATAACACATGATGCTTCCTGTAAACTCTTGCAATTTTTACTCCATATTTTGGCGCAATATCAATAGCTTTTCATTGAAAACAAAACATAAAATATTTGGAAATTTCCCATGGTATAATTGTACGTAACGGAGCTAGGCTCTGTGTACACAGAAGACCCTGGCAACGAGGTTGTCAAATAAGCTGGTAAACTGCGAAAAAATGTCAACACTACAGCTATATTACACACTCGTACGCTCGTATGACATGAAGTATTATCAATTTGTAAATCCAAATTTTAATATCCTCACTTAAATTTCACGATAAATCTATAAATTTTCTTTACAATTACAAGAAAAACATACAAATACCTTCACAAAGTAGTTACAAACCGTAATATCTTTGCTTAGTCAACAGGGGAAGGCGCCACGATAAACAGATATAAAATACTCTAATAATGTACATACAGTAGACTTATATGTTCTGTTTACACTATGTCTATGTGCAGTGTGGTTTTAAAGTCAAGAAATCGTTACAAACAAGTCACAGAAATCATAAAGATCAAACTTAAAAGCGACAATAGAATCGTAAATTACAATTGAACAAATACCTGACTGTTGACCTTCGCAGTAACAAAGACAGGTCTTATTTAAGTGAAAAATTAATAAGCAACTAAACAAAACATGTGTTTGCGCCCGCATTTTGGGAGCGTAACTAACCCGCAACTAGGCTGGCCTAGCTCGTTCAGTACACATAAGCATAATTTAAACGAAAGCCTGCCTCGACATGAATCGTGATTACAGCCGGTCTCAATAAACTTTACATGCTCGATCGTGAATTCAAATGCATTCAAATTTCCAACAGAAGCTTTATTTCAACAGGGGTAATTTTTTATACACACTGTTGAACTTTAGGTTGTTGTATCGCGCGTTATCGTGGGCAACTGTGATTGACAAGGATCGTTTCGAAAGCAGCGAAATTTACGTTTCGACAATTTACATAAAAAAGACTTAAATAAATGCAAACTCCTTTTTTGTACGTCACTGATATTTATCTCGTGTACGCTCGTCTTATATATTTAAATTTAAACCAACATTTAAACCAAAATCATCTTGTCCTATTTATGCACAGCTACCAACACTCATTAAATTTTTTTTTAGGATCGCGAGTGATTAAAAGCATTATAAGCATAGTCAAAGTGTAAACTATGCAGTGACCTATAAAAAGTCATACAAATTTGTTTTAGATTACAATGGATATTTGTTATCATTATAATAAAGGTGGTTAAACATGGGACGGTGTGTTGGAGCAGCGATTACACGTGGTTTGGGATCATAATATTCTCCTTTATTTCCGATGAGACTACAATAAACACAAATAATTCATTAGTAAATAGAAAAGAAGAGAAAATAAACACAGTAAATAACAGTCCAGTTTTACCAGAGGGGTTTATCGCTTGGTTATAAAATGACGAAATAATTTAACCGCATCATTACCCTGTTTTTTTGATACTGAATTCCTTGGAAACGATAAATTCCTTAGTTTTATCTTAAACATCACTGAGTTGCTCGGAATCCGGAAAGACCTAACTTAAACGTTGATATTAGAGAGGTTAAGATACCCCGGTTCCGGTGTACGGATACGGGTAGCGCCATTTTGTTTTCCATTTTTCGCTGATGTCAGCATATTTACCCGTAATATCTACCCGTTTTCCCGTTGTAAACGACGGTCTACACCTAAACAACGAACGGGTAACTACAAAGACAAAGTGGTCAAAGTTTTTTTAATAAAGGACAAATGGAGAAGCGGGTGAGTGTCTTTAACACGTTTAAAATACATTTTACGTATTAATATGGTGTTCATATTGTTCAGGCTTCTCAAAAATGGTTTGCAAACATACTTTATGAACGCCCTCTTGATATTTTTGATTTTCAAAACAAGCACACGAAATACTATAGTTATATAAAAGTTAAGTAGGACTTACAATGGAAATGTATAATACTTATTTACTTTTATAGTCACTTCTTACCCGGTGTTGTTCTTACCCGGAATTTAAGAAAATTCTTAAGTTGCAAACCGTACCCGTCTTACAGGTAACGGGTACGTGTAATTCACCCGTACCCGTACACCGGAACTGGGGTATCTTAACCTCTCTAATATAACACGAGTATTTTCATTGGGTAAATTAGCGCCGGTTTTATTGTCAAATTAATATTCTTAGAGTTTAAAACATTGCTGAGATTAACCCAAGACCCAAAGACTGGTTTATCAAACTGCTTTGTTTATTAACATTTAAAAGCTCTTCGAATGATGATGAGGGTAACCATGTATGTATTTCACTTTATAGAGAAGAAAGTGTGTGACAGAATAAATTAATAAGTTTTTCAAAACAATTCGATACACCATTTTTTACCAAATTCCTTGTTAAACTTTGGTTTAAATCTTGCGAGTACTTTGTAAATATTGCATTCAAGTAACTTGGCATAATTTAAAATTTCAACAACCAGAACATGCAGCTATAATTATGGTCACTTATATATTTACCTAAAAGCAGCAATTATTAAAATCACGAACGTGACCACAAAACACAGGCTGAGCCATCCTATGACGGCCATTAAAACATGTTTCACGTCCTCAACTTCACTCTTGTCAACTGCAGTAGGAATAATTTTATAAAATTAATCACACATCAACCTGCGACATTGCAGAATTTACCTTTTGAAAGAAAAAAAATAACTGGTTCACATCATGTACAGCTATATAAATGATACACCTGGGCCCGGTCGAATAAAAAGGTAGTTAAAGATTTGAAGTTAACTAGCTACCGTTCGCATTAACTAACTACCGTAGTTAAGTATACTTTAGCTGCTATTATTTAACTACACAACTTAACTGCGTTGCACACACTGTTATTTATTTTGAACAAGGCTGTTGAATTCTATTTACAAAAATTAACAGTTTTACGTGATATTATTATATGGCATGCGGTCTCGTGACTAAAATGGCGTGCGCCGACTGGTTCTTTGCCGGTCTGGAATCCCCCAGTATTAGACCGTTGCCGTAGTAACGGTCCAAATCTCATATTTTTGAACAAAAACAAGCTTGCACTTTTATTTTTGACGCGAAAAATATCGACGGAGAATGGACGAAGAAGAGCATTAATTGGCACATGTGAATATTATATTTATTCATCTTTGATTTTTGTCTATAGTACTGTATCACTCTTATTCAGCGTGTAAAAAACAAAGTTTTGGAAGCCACTTCAGTGCTTGCTTGGCGACTGGCTGGCGAAAGAGCCGGCAAGAATGCTGCAGCGCATTGTATAAATAAATAAATTAAATACTGTATGCTGCCATATAATAATTTAAATCCCTTATTAACCGAATACGTTCGGTCCGTAATGGAAAAATATCAGACCTTGGTCTTTTATGTACGGACCTCGCTATATCGCTCGGTCGGTACTGTCAAGACCTCGGTCTAATCCCCGAGCCGGTGCGGAGCACCGTGCGAGGGTACTAATTCCGCTCGGATATTTACACCCAGGATGTGCGAAGGCGAAATCAAAGTTGTCCGCCATTATGCAATGGACCTCACGCCATGGACGGTCTTCTACGTTATGCGCATGCGCCAGTGTACTAAGCTCTTGATTGGTCGAGACAAAGATTTGTATTCTTAAACCTGCATAACTGTCACTTCGCAAAATTTTGAAGAAACTTATAAATACATTTTCATATTATTTAGATTTTTATATTTTTAATTACATGAGAGGGAAACTCGAATCAGTCGAATAGAGGACTTTTTACGGTTTAAAAAAAAAACAAACTAAATTTTCGACCGAATTCACCGTGTATAATGAAGTCGAAAGATTTTACACTTGAAAATAAGACCCGGCACAAAAGTCATTATTTTGTGGTAAACACAACTTTAGTATTCTCAAACGTATTTCACTACAAATCTGAATGGGTAATGTGATACGTTATTATAATTTCATTTATAAACTCCGTTTTTTCAAAATATTCGCGTGCAAAAACCAGTCGAGGCGTAAACATAAAACTTCGGAAGTCGTATGAGACGTCTGATGTTATATTTCATGGTAATTAATAATTAAAATAATTTACCATAACAGTGACTGTAGATAAGTAACTTAACTTCGATAAAATGGTTAGAATCTTGTCGTATTTTTGCCTTTTTTCGCAAAAATATTAGGGCAAATTTTGATTCTTTGAAAATATACGGCCGTTGCGATGTTGGTTGCGAGTTGCTATGACTACAGTGCTTCCGCTTCCAGAAATATATTTCCATTCTTCTCTTCTCGCATACCAACAATACCAAGTGTACACCCTCCAAACACCCCAACCCACACAAAATCAACTATCCAACTATCGTGTCACCATCCCTATGCTTAACTCATTTCGCTTAACCGAGGCGAGGGGTTGCTGCATGCATGTATTTCTAGTATTTTTCTAGTACGGACCTCAAATTCGGTTGATAAGTGGTATGTATTGAAAAAAATGCCCGGAATAAGAAAAAAATGAAGAAAACGAGAAAGGCACTTTTATATTATAATTAGAAAAATTTCTTTAAAGGTTGCAGTTAGCTAACCTTTCCCAGGGTCGTCATTTGGCATCGACAATTTAGGAAACAAAACTTATATTTCTTTCTGCCTCAATAGGGCAATAACAAAAGAAGCGCGCTAAACGTCTGTAAGTTTCGAGGGTTCCAATTTCAGAGGGATAACGACTGAAAACCTTAATAGTTTTTGGTACAAACTTTAGCACTGTTTTACAAAACTTGCACTTTTCTCACACATTTTTGCACTGCTTTTTGGGATTACCCGCGCACTGAGTTCAACCAATCAAAGTCGGGAAACATTTTCATTTATATTATTAAAAAGTTATACAACTGCATGTAACTTACCATCTCCTTGAGCAACTAAAGTAAAAAAAAAGCAAGTTAAAAATTAAAACGACAATAATGGGAAGTAATTGGATGATATTAAAAAAACAAAACGTAACCGTAGGGTAACTATACTAACAATTAAATGAAATTTGCCCATGATTAATAATTTTGTAAACGCGTTGTTCATCTTTGTCAAGCATGCCTATATTTAAGTTCCTGTTTGATTCCATTTTACCAGAACGGGTCTATATAAGATTTAGTCTAGCCGCGGCAGTTTCACTTTATCAAAAGTAATCATTTCTTTAGAAATTGATTGTTTCCACAGTTAGTGAACATTAGAATGTTAGCATATGGATGGAAAACAAAGATAAAAGACATATAAAAAAATAAAGGAAATAAGCAAGGGAAACAAGAGTAGTTACAATACTTGTTTTGCTAATCTCATGATTTTATCTACTCACCAATACAATCACTGCCATTCTTGACGAAGCCTTCATTACAGATACAATCGTAAGTAAGATTTCTGTTGACGCATGTTGCATTTTCACCACAATCAGGAGTTTGAATATTTGCAGGATCGCACTCATCGTAATCTAAAAGAGGAAGAGTTAGTCGGCGTATTATAATTACGTCCACACGAGAGAATGAAGAAGAAATCTTACTATCGAGGCTCATCCGCAGGTATGTCTAGTGTATTATGCATGTATTTTTGCAGGCATGTATTATATATGGTCAATATTTATAATTTTCATAATGTATTCTAATTTCAATACATTGGACATGCCAGCATGCGGAGGAAACTATAGATAAAATATACCTTCAAATTTAAAAAGACCAGCCAATTCAGTGCTAGCGGGATCAGTGTTGGGGCTGAGTTGTAGGTTGGTGCCAGGAAGGAATGTGCCGCTGTTTGTTACGTTCAAAGTTTCGGCTAATTCTTTTTGAAGATTTTCGTAGGTAACTCCGGTTAAATCGTTAAATGTTGCCACGTAGTCGACGCCAAGAGATCCATTACTAAATTTGAAATATGTTAAGAAAACTGCTTTACAAGGCATCACCATAAAATTATTGTACCTGACTGTAATTTAAAAAAAAATTAGAATGGATTCCCAAGCTAGTAAGGTAAATTGATTGTACGGTAAGCTATTTCCTAGCTAGTAAGGTGAATTGCCAGTTAGTTGAAGGGAAAGCAAATTTCACTTTTTATTATTGCATATTTCTGTTCGCGGCCGAGCAAGAAGAAATAGAAACAGTTGAAAAAGAAAAGAAATAGTTCAAAAATGTTAGTGAAATAATTTTCAAACGGTGCCTAAATGTGGTATGTTAGAATATCTTCCGTGCTATACAACAAATTTTCTAAATTCCGATCTAAATTTTTGAAAAAATTATCGACAGAAGTCAGATCTAAGACGTTTGAGTGCGATTATACACAAAGGACGGTATTTGGAGAATGCAAAATATATTAGATAAACTGGAAGCGTTGTTTGGTTATGTTTTTATGTCAGTCATATAGGTACACGTGTCAGTGTCTTAATGTTATAATACGGAAATTAATGCATAAATGTATGAATAATACCTTATCTTGTAACTAGAACAAATTAATTTATCTATTTGGTCGGAACCTGGCTAATAGCTTAGCATTTATTATGTAAATAGCAGTAAAATCCTGTGCATGTTAGTAATATCGTGTGCATGTGTGTAATATCCTGTGCATGTGTGTAAACAAAGCTTATTTAAACAACAACCGCTGTTGTCATCTAAAACGGCTCCATATTTGCATCCTTTCGGCGTTCGTGAATCAGAAACGTCACTATCAATTAAGCCGGCTAATGAAAACAAAACACTTACGTCAAATTTGTGATAAAGCATGAATAAAATTGCGAAGTTAGGCTCGTACTTTTAAATAACTTGACTATCTAAATTTGAAAAAAATATTGTTGTCGCTGTTGGTTGGTAGTACCAAAAAGACAAGTAATAATAGATTCTCTATAATTATTAACTTTCTGTTGCTAAATCAAAAAACTCCATGGATCAGAGGCCTTTCATTAATTAACTAAACTGTTCACGCTGATTCAGGCCAAAAATTGATGTCAGAGCCTCTCAATGTCCCACAAGTGAGGTCGTAGGGTGGAATTTGACTTTTTTTTGCACGCCATACTTTCCGTCATAACGTGTGAGAAATAGTCCCACCCCATGTTATGACGTCACAAAATTGTAACGCTGCTTCTGTCGCTCTAAACGCGATTCTCCATTACGTCCGCCACGCCCGCGCGGGCGAAGCGTGCTTTGTTTTTCAGGCCCGTCACGGTCGCATGGGCAGATTTTCAAAAGCCGCTTCGCCCGCGTGGGTGAAGCGGACGGTAATGGAGAATCGCCTTAAGAAAACAATTGTTAGCTAAATTCGGTCTTAACATGATAACAGTCATAAGGAATTAACAAAGCACTAATAATTCCTTATTTCTGTTCTATCTTCACCTATAACACTTATACACTAGTAAAAAAGATAAATAATGAAAAAATGAAAATTTCCGTACCATCTCAATTATTGCGTCAGTGATTTCCAGGTATTCTGCGCTTGAGTGATCATCATAGATCTGTAGGTATACACGATTTACAATATCAAATCTACCTGCAACAGAACCCGCCAAATCTAGAAAAAACACACGATAAGTAATGAAGTTGGTTTATCAATGGACCATTCCCAGATTAAAGTAAATCCTGAACTAGCAAAATCCGTCGGTTTTTAGGTATTCAGTGGGAAAGGGCATCCCAAAATTAGTAAAATTGGAAAGTTTAGTTGCAAAATGTTAAAAAAATAGGAAAATAACGTGGTTAGAAGTCAGCCAATATTGGCTACGAGTATTGTGACAGAACATATCGCAATCCAAAGTTGTCCATATTCTATGTCAAGGACGTTGGATGGTTTTTTACTCATGCGTATAAGCGAAATATGAACGAGAAAAGTTGGTAATAAGCAACGTGACGTACCACGAACTTACCAATTTTACAAAATTTGTGAGTATAGAATATGTGAATTATTTTATTTACATTTTTCCTGAAATAGCATGTGTCCTTTGATATCGTGGTTGTGTCCACGGTAAAAAAACAGTTGCTTGAAAAATCGGAAGCTTGTCGATAAACCAGTGAATTATAAGTTTTACAGTAATACCTACCAACACACGTTGACCCATCTTCAGAAAGATATTTCCCTGGACTTATACAATGACAGCGATATTCTCCAGGATAGTTGGTACAACTTTGGCTTTCATTTCTACATTTCGGTGATTTCCCTGTACATTCATCAATGTCCTCTGCAGAAGACAAAAACATCAAACTATGTGACAGCCCAATAATATGCAGGATATCACTTTTCCGACAAACACACAAGAGAAAAGATACAAGAGAAAAACACACGCGAAGGAATGAATAAAATGCTATAAATCACCGACTGGTTTTGAACTTATTATTCACTAACCACAACGAATTCCATTCCCCTCAAAGCCATTCTTGCAATTACATAAATATGTTCCGTCCTGATTAGTACACAGAGCATTCGGTGAACAATCGTTCTCTCTCTCACATTCGTTGACATCTGGGATGATAAATGATAAACGTGTTACAGAATAATGTGATTTTCTACATAATTTGATTCGCCTGGTAAATGCTTTCTATATCATTGCACAAATTATGGGAATTAACAACACATGTGCAAATTTTATGTTAACCAATGAAGTATTAGTTTTTCTATAACTTGATATACTTCGATTACGAAAAAATTCAATGTAATTAATTTCGCTCTTTTATATTCTGCTCGAATTTTCAAGCAGCTATGCTCAGTTGCCCCATGCACAATTTAATTAAGCCTAACCTTGACAGCCTGTTCCATTTCCCCAGTAGCCATTTTTGCATGTACAATTGAAAGAGCCATCAGTGTTGTTACAATACGCGTTGTGATGACAATTGTGAGAACTCGCACCACATTCGTCGATATCTGGAAAATCAAATTAAAAAGGGTTTTTTACAATGCTTTTGCCACGCTAATATCTATACTGATACAATGTCTTTGTTTGCCTACTATCTTTAATCACCATGCACCTAAATTATATCAAGATTTATCGGGAAATCTCGATTAAATCACTGTATGTACACACTTTATATTTGCATGTGTCCCAATTTTTATCTGCTGCAATATGTTACAAACATTGTGCAATATTCCAACAAGCCTAACCTTCGCAGTTTTTTCCATTTCCTCTGTAGCCATTTTTACATGTACAATTGAAAGAACCATCAGTATTGTTACAGTAGCCATTGTGATGGCAATTGTGAGAACTTGCATAACATTCGTCGATATCTGCATGGAAGGTGAAATTAAAAGAATGGCATATTTTAAAAAAATCCGACAATTGATTACAAGTTCATCGGTTTTGTTCGGTCAATATTTTCAACTATTACACCTATGTTGCGAAGTAACTACATTAACGGTTAACCGTGCTGCATTGGAGCAAATTTTTGTGAATCATTTTGTTAGTCATTAGCATTCGTTCGAAAATTTTGATCTGTTGCAATTTATATGTTTTAAATTGTTCTTCACTGATTTTTATAACGATTATTTAGTCCTACAATCTTGCAAGATTTTCTTTCGTTCAGGCAGCTCAAGATACTTTATGTACAATAATTCGAACAAACCTCGACAGTCTGTTCCAATTCCACAGTAACCATTTCCGCATGTACAATTAAATGAACCATCAGTATTGTTACAGTAGGCATTGTGATGGCAATTATGAGAACTGCCACCACATTCGTCGACATCTGAAGAGTGAAATCAGTGGCATAAGAAATACTCCGCCAAAATCCTCTATACACAATTTTTTCGTTGAGTTAAAGTATAAGCAGTGAACCAGTCAAAACAAGTGTTATATTAACAACATATTTACGGCAAACCTTTGCAGTCGGTCCCATTCCCTGAGTAGCCGTCTATGCATGTGCAATTGAAAGAACCATCAGTATTCTTACAGTAGGCGTTGTAATGGCAATTATGAGAACTCGCGCCACATTCATCGATATCTTAAAGAATTACGAAATTAAAGAATGTATCAGAAAACTTTGTTAATACCTCTAGAATTTAAATTTTCTTAAAAATTCCGATTTTTCTAGTTATGGAACTTTCTGTTTCACTTTTCTAATATGTTTGGAGAATCAGACAATAGAGATATTTAAACGACCAACCTTTACATTCAGTTCCGTTTCCTGAATAGCCATTTTTACATGTACAATTGAAAGATCCATCGGTATTGTTACAGTAGGCGTTCTGATGGCAATTGTGAGAACTCGCAACGCATTCATCGATATCTGAACGAAGTAATAACGAAAGTTAGACCGTAGTAATTTATATCTCTTCGAGAAATGAGCAGCAAATGAAAATTTCTTCCAAGTTTTGAACCGTCCGAGGTTAGAATTATATCGTCTCTAATATTTACATACGGCTAACCTTCACAGTCATTTCCATTGCCGAAGTAGCCGCTTTTGCAGGTGCAATTGAAAGAGCCATCAGTATTGTTACAGTAGGCATTGTGATGGCAGTTGTGAGTCCCTGCATCACATTCGTCGACATCTGAAAAGAGAAATCAATGGTATAGGAAATATTCTGCCATAATTCACTATACACAATTATTTCGTTTAGTTAAAGTATTAGCCGTGAACCAGTCAGAACAAGTGTTTTAAGTTAACCCCATATTTCTGACAAACCTTGGCAGTCGGTCCCATTTCCTGAGTAGCCATTTTTACAAGTACAATTGAAATATCCATCAGTATTGTTACAGTAGGCATTGTGATGACAATTATGAGAACTCACACCACATTCATCGATATCTGAATGAATTAATAAATGAAAGAATGTTGCGGAGTTTTCTTTATTATAATAGTATTCATATTCAATCAAAATGGCCGTCTAACCTTCACAGTCAGTTCCATTCCCGGAGTAGCCATTTTTACATGTACAATTGAAAGATCCATTAGTATTGTTACAATAAGCATCTTGATGGCAATTGTGAGAACTTGCATCACATTCGTCGATATCTGCATTGAAGTTGAAATTAAGAAATGGTATATTTTAAAAGATTCCACTATAATGGTTACAAATTCATCGGTTCTGTTCAGTTAATTTTTTTAACCATTGCGCCTATGTTGCGAAGTAACTTCGTTAATCGTTAACTGTGCTGCATTCGAACAAATTTTTCTAATCCATTTTGTTAGTCATTATTAAAATTTGTTCGAAAATTTTCATCTGCAACAATTCATATGTTATAAATTATTCTTTCATTGCCCACAGATTTTTATAACGATTATTTAGTCCTACAAACTTGCAAGTTTTTCTTTCGTTCAGGCAGTTCAGGAAACTTTATGTACAATAATTCGAACAAACCTCGACAGTCTGTTCCATTTCCCCAGTAGCCATTTTTGCATGAACAATTGAAAGAACCATCAGTATTGTTATAGTAAGCGTTGTGATGGCAATTATGAGAACTGTCACCACATTCATCGATATCTGAAAAAAAATCATTGTCAAAGAAATACTCATTGCTCAATAGACTAGTTTTGTTCAGTTGAAATTCAGTATAAGCACTGAACAAATATTTTAAATTTTCACCACTTATGCAACTTTTGTGTAGACAAAAGCATGAAACGAAACACCGCGACGACTGAAGACCTTCACAACCATGTGTTCTACAACGTTGTGAGTATGTTTTTGGTAAGACTTGTTCAAGTTATGTGAACATTAACCTAACATTCACAGTCTGTTCCAATTCCCCAGCAGCCAGTTTTAAATTAACACCATATTTCTGACAAACCTTGGCAGTCGGTCCCATTTCCTGAGTAGCCGTTTTTACATGTGCAATTGAAAGAACCATCAGTATTGTTACAGTAGGCATTGTAATGGCAGTTGTGAGTCCCTGAATTACATTCGTCGACATCTGAAAAGAGAATCAATTCAATCAAAGACATAAGAAATATTCTGCCATATTTCACTATACATAATTGTTTCGTTTAGTTAAAGTATTAGCCGTGAACCAGTCAGAACAAGTGTTCTAAATAAGCACATATTTCTGGCAAACCTTGGCAGTCGGTCCCATTTCCTGAGTAGCCATTTCTGCATGTACAATTGAAAGAACCATCAGTATTGTTACAGTAGGCATTGTGATGGCAATTGTGGGTCCCTGAATTACATTCGTTGAAATCTGAAAAGAGAAATCAAAGGCATAAGAAATATTCCGCCATATCTCACTATACACACTTGTTTCGTTTAATTACACATAAATCGTGAACCAGGCAGAACAAGTGTTTTAAATAAACACATATTTCTGGCAAACCTTGGCAGTCGGTCCCATTTCCTGAGTAGCCGTTTTTGCATGTACAATTGAAAGAACCATCAGTATTGTTACAGTAGGCGTTGTGATGGCAATTATGAAAACCTGCATCACATTCATCGATATCTGAATGAAATAATAAAATGAAAAATGTTGCGGAGTTTTCTTTAATTCAATAGTAATTTATATTCAGTGAAAATTCTGATATTTTGCAAGAGAGAAAAACTTTATAAAACAGGGCGATTAAAATTCTTGAAGCATATAGGAAGTTAGAACTATGCGATATTTGCGTACAACGCCTAACCTTGACAGTCTGTTCCATTTCCGAAGTAGCCGTTTTTGCATGTACAATTAAAAGAATCATTAGTATTGTTACAGTAGGCGTTGTGATGGCAATTGTGAGAACTCGCCCAGCATTCGTCGATATCTGAAAGCATTAATTACCGAAAGGATGTAGAAGAATTTTGTTTTAATCAGAGTATTCATATGATTTTCTTTAGAGTTCTGATATTTTTCAAGTGCCAAATAAAAATAACTTATGCAGAGGCATTATAATGAAGGTTGCGAAACCAACTTAACAAGTATAACATCCGTATAAAAATGTGCATGAGAAAGGTTACACAACATAACTTGCCTAAAAAGCCAAAGATCTAATCCAAAATCTAAATTTTCATTTACGTTCTTATAGCCCAGAAAAATTGGAACTTTCAACTGAAATGTGAAATATTTACGGCAAACCTCGGCAGTTTGTTCCGTTTCCTGAGTAGCCTTTTTATATGTACAATTCATCAGTATTGTTACAGTGGGCGTTGTAATGATAATTATAAGAACCGGGTAAAAATTGTTGAAAATTCTAATTTTGCAAACGTTTTTTAAAAAAACTTGGTTTGTAAGCAGTCATCATCATAATAGCAGTTGTAAGATACATATGTATTACAATCTTGATAGTAAATGAAAACTCTGGGCACTTTTAGGTCTTTGATAACAAACAGTCTATGATGACGATAAGTTTTTTTAAACCATGTTATACAATTATGAAGAAAATTTGTGGTAATACTCTTTCTGAGATAACGAAACGATCCTATTAGATTTTCTATTGATGTTTTCAGCCCACAGAACTTACTAGCCTACTGCTCAATTGAAATATGGATATCAACGGCTAACCTTTGCAGTCAATTAAAACTTTCTATTTAACTCGTAATATGTAAAAACTTCGTAAAGGTGTAATCTACGTGGTGATTCCGTCATGATGATGTAACGTACTTCTGGGATGAATTTAGACTAACGCCTGTATTCAAAAAGCTCACTCACACTTACACTAATTGAGTGTGGCATATAAATTTTGTTAATGCTGGTCAATGAGAAAGTTTTCTTTCAATAGATGGAAAGATATAAGGTAAACCACTGAAAATCAAGCCCCTTTTCGGCTGGAAATACTGCCATTGAATCGTTATGAGAAGATTAAGATCTCCCACTCATTGAGTTTGAGTGTGAGTGAGCTTTTAGAATACAGGCGTCAGTCTTGCTTTGACCTCCAATACACATCTTGGAGCTTCATTATGTATTACAGGAAAATTAAAGTCTTCTTTGACTTTTTGACTCAGCGACTATAATAAATAGAAAATACATCACAAATCATTACCGTCATCATCTGTGATAGTCACTGTCGCTTCGCCAACAGTTATTTGAACGTTGTTATCTAACATCAAAACAACTGTAAAACTTTCGTTGCCTTCATAACTGTTATCATCTATTATCAAAATATCAACGCAATAAATTCTTGGAGAAAAAATAAATATTGAAACACTTTTCTCCTCATCCAGATAATCTTCTCCACTTGTTGCAGTGCCATTTCTGAATGTTAATCTTAAAATACGACAAGAAACACATTAATAAATAGACAAAAAAGGAAATTCGCTGAATGTGTTGGTTGCACAAATTTATGGATGTTCGTATTAACCATGCAGTTAGTGATATTTCTGCCAATCATGCCATTGACTGTATTTTCATCTAAATATTGGACGTGTTGAAAATAAAGATTATTCAATTTGAGATTAGGAAGATAAAAAGTAGAAAATTTATTCATCATTGAACGTTGGTTGTGACATGTCTCAGCTACAAAGAATTCGGACCGCTACCCGGATGTGCTTATAAATATAAAGAACAAGAAGAACGAAATTCACTCACCTTCCTAAGGCAATTATGAAGGACCCCTCTGAATTGCTAACGTTAACCTCAACACAAACATTCACGGAACCATCTGCCTCACCAACAGTGTATGTGGAACTTTGAAATCCAATTGTAGTTGCCTCTGCATTAAAATTTGGAAGGAAAAAATACATTGCCGACATGCATACATCAATTCAAAAATTAGCTGTATGTATAATACTTAGTTATCGTTCTTTTGCATAGTTCACGTTATACAGTGTCAATGATCTACCGGATTGACTGGTTTGTTAACAGGCGAATATTCCAAGAGATATTCAAAGAAAAAGTTAGTAACATTTTCATCATCACATTTTGTTATAAAAACTTTCGCATCAAAATATAATTATAATACTCATGCACCACATTCCCATCCTCTCCGCACGCACTAAGTCAATATTTGACGCAACTGAGGGGAAATAAAAATGTATGCATGGTTGCCAACCACGGATTTACGGGAACGTGGGGGGAGATTTATCAATAGTAAAGAATAACTATCGCTCCAATGAATTTGTCAATGTTTGTGGTCTATTTCTGTGAAGCAAATACTAGGTATATGAGGTTGAACATCGGATATGAAGAAGTTTGTGGTTGTCAACCGAAGCCCAAGGCTGAAGTTAATGACAAACTAAGGCTTCATAATTCTTCATATCATGTGAAAACGGAATTCAATAATTATTTTATTTATTTAAAAGAATGAACATTACAACTTTGAATTGTTCGCTTGAATTTGTGTCGATTTCACATTCCCGCACCGTTGATGTTTTCGCCATTAGTGTGACTTCGTAACGTGGGATACGACTATTTATTACAAGTTATGACGTATTAGCGTGCAAGAAAAAAGTCGTATCAAACGTTATGACGTCACACGTTGGACATGACGATTCCACACATGGCTTCCACACTCTCCGCACTACTGATTTACGAGAACAGGAGGGGGGGGGGGGGTTGGGTTAATCAACAGTAAAGAATAACTATGGTTCCAATGAATTTGCCAATGATTTTGGATGAATAAATATTTAAACTATTGCCGGACTCCCTCCAGTAAAAATTGAGAACATGCGCCACGATATTTTTGCTTTACAATAATTTATGGTCTCAAACGGACTGCTCACTTAGCCAATCGGATTGCAGGAAACGCTAAAATATGAATTCGGACCGCAAGAAAAAAGATAATATGTATTATTATTTCATTTCTATAACATCTTCGTTCTGTGATAGCGATCGAAACAGCGCTATTGAAATATTAAACTGGATGATGTTAAAACCCGGTGTAAAATTATTATAAAATACTCGAAA